TCCTTCCCCTGGTCCTCCCCCTGGCCATCCCTGGCCCATCCCTGGCCCATCCCTGGCCCATCCCTGGCTCATCCCTGGCCCGTCCCTGGCCCATCCCTGGCCCGTCCCTGGTCCCTCCCCCTGGTCCCTCCCCCTGGTCATCCCTGGTCATCCCCGGCCATCCCTGCTTCTTGTCCCTGCTTCTTGTCCCTACTTCTCTTGATGCTCGCATTGTCACCGATGCTCCTCTGTTCTCATTTACGCCACGCAGCCCACCTGCTCCCGCGTTGCTCGCTCTGCTCTGGCTACCAATCCTCCTCTGGCTTAGCAATCCTTACCCCTGCCCGCTCCTTATCAACCATGACTCCCCCCCCCCCCTCCCCCACTGCCTGCTGTAATCTAGGTTTGATTCCTGGCACGGGTGCGATGGGGGTTAAACCGGCAGCAGCAGTATCAGTTGACGATCGTAATCGCCACAGCCGCCGCCACCACGCGGCTCGGCTCCCCCTCCCTGTGCAGAATGGGCTTCCAGTCAACAACCCCGGGCCCCCGGCCTTCCCAGCAACATCAGGGAGGGACAATCTTGTCGTGTGCAAAGCTAGATTTGTTATCGTTTCGGTATTTTTATGATTTTGTTTTTTCTATTTGCAGAAGCAAAATATATATATTTTGATTGGAGGTTGGGTGGGGTGTGTGTAGGCGGTTTGGGCTCTTGCTCTGCGTTCTCCCTAACCTTCATCCCTAACTTTCATCCCTCTTCCATCCGCGCGTGCGCGTGTGTGTGCGTGTGTGTGTGTCTTTGTGATAGTGGGGGAATAGCGCTACGAACCCGGCGACTCGAGTTCGATTCCTGCTCACGGTCAACACCAGTAATGATAATCTAAATCGGTCCTTGCGCCTCCCCTAGGTCGACTAAGCCTCGAATGAGCAGCTGGTGCCATGTGTAAAACATCGCCATTGGGGAGAGAAATGCGGCCGGGCGTGGTGCTGACCCACACGCCATCCTCCTCGTGCGCCGTGCCGGCCTTCGTAGTTTCTCGATTACAGCACTTGCCCCCACCAGAATGTGTCGGCTATGCGTGGAGGTAGGGCATCTTTGTCTTTGTCTGGCTATGGGCTGTGGGCATCGCAAACAAATGCCACGATCTGTGGTGGGAGGGTAGTGTTGTGGGTGGTTGTGGGTTGGGTGTGAATCTCCTAAGCAGGAGGGAAAAAGCATCTAAAGTTCTTAGACTGCGTGTCACATTCCAGAGGGCACTGTGGGCTACAGCAGTACGGCTCAGACTCGGAGAGGGGAGAGGCCTTTGCCTCGTTTGGTAACTGTGAGGCCACCAAGCTCGACACAGAGCATCGTGGGCTACTGACACAACGCCAGTGCGAGAGATTATGGTGGAGCTCACATACGCCGCGCGGGTGTGCGTGTGTGCCTGTGCGTGTGTGTGTCATCCCAATCTATTTCGACAGCGTAGTTCGTGAAGCCTTCAATAGCTGTACCGGAGGAATTTCCATCTGGTACAGATACAATTGGAGGCTGATCGATGCCCGGGTGCGGTCAAGGGATGGTTCCCTATTGCTCAATCATGTTATGTATGCTGATGATCTGGTAATTGCTACTCACTCAGAGGAGGAGTTGGAGGTGCTGCTGCTGAACCTGGAGCTTGCTACTAAGAGGTGGGGACTTACCATCAGCCCCACCAAAACTAAGCACCTGCCTGGGTATTTTGTACCATCCGACACTCCACCCCCACAACTCCCAGTTGGTAATAGGGCAGTTGTGGAGAGAGAGGAGAGTTTCCCATACCTGGGCAGTGTGCTCATGACCGGATCTGGTTTGACAGCAGAGGTCTCACTCTGAATCAGTCGAGCAGCATTATCTTTTCATCGGTTGCTACCTGGTCTGTTGCTCTGCACGAAGCTTCAGGTCTTCTCGACCACAGTCATTCCCTCCCTTCTCTACGCTTGCGAAACGTGGACCCCCCTAATGGAACATCTTCACCGGTTAGAAACATTTAGGCTGGCCTGCCTACGAACCATCCTGGGTTTAACCAGGCTGGATTGTGTGAAGAGCTCACAAATCCTTGAAAGATCGGTGAGCTCCTCCGGCAGGTAAGGCTGCGTTGGCTGAGTCATGTAGCCCGCATGCCCAGCCACCGCATGCCTAAACAGCTTTTGTTCGTCCGGATCGAGGGAGCTAAATGGGCGCGGCACGGGATAGAGAAGAGATGGAGTGATGTGGTACAGGAGGATGTGGAGCTGAGTGGACTTGCCGATGACTGGTACCAGCGGTGTCAAGATCGGCCTCTGGAGGAGGCTCGTGAAGGATGTTACTAGGCAGTTGGAGGCAGTCGCCCTCCAACAACAACGGAGGGCGGAGGAGCGATGCTCACAACAACGAGCGGAGTGCCGGGTGGCTAAAGCACAGCAAGTTGGCACAGTAGGGGGCACAGGTGGTGCATCAGCCAGTCATCTAACACAGTCGACCCGTGGCGCCTGGGTCTGCCCCGTGACCTCCTGTCAGCGGGCGGTCGACTCAAGATGCACATAGCCTGCAACAAGCGTCGTGGTGACATCACCACCACTTAGTGGCGAATGGCGGTTGTTGTTGTCATCACAATCGTCGATGTCGCGACGAGTCGCCACCTGTGACCGGATACCAATACCATTGCCATCGTCACGAGACACGGTCTATCTCTGGCCCGAGACAAATATCACTGCCATCACCATCGTCAAGAGGTGTGCTCTATCCTCTGCTGGATGGAAGACCCACTCCTGCCCAAGAGCCAATCTCATTTCTCCAATCTCCACGGGGGCCAGACTATGGTGGTGTGCGTTCTCTCCTTTGGCTGCCATTCCATCACCAGTCTCACCTTCAGCCATTGGCCCTTCCAGCCACGATGGACCCTGCCCATGATGGACCCTGCCCACGTGTTGTGACGGGTACTGGAAGATCCGACTCTGTCCGTCCGGTGCTCGCTGAGCTGTATTGGCTTCCGGTTTGCTGAAAATACATTTGAAGGTCGCACTCGTTGCACACGAAGTGCTTGGCGACAAATGAACCACGACACCTTGGTGATCTCGTCAAGGAGCATGAACCATCATCACGCGAATTCCGATCGTCCTCGCAAGCCCTTTTGGCTGGCCATTGAACAAAGACGGTCACCGCATCGCATGCTCTCAGTTGCCCTTTCTTTGGCCGTCTGGAAGGCTCTTCCTTCCAATATCAGGAAGCCACTGGGATCTATGCACTTTTAAATAATGTACATTGAAATTGAATTTCTTCGGAACCGCTTTTTGTGTGTTGGTTTGTTGCCCTGCACCTCCGACGAGCACGGATGGCTCCGCACGGCGTGAAAGAAGTTCAACATACATCTGTACTTACAGACTTAGATCCGATGTGTTTGTTACTCCCCTCAAACCCGACGTAAGCACAGAAATCGGACTTAACCTGGAGGAACGCGACGAGCCCCCCAGCTAGAATGTGTGGAGTTGGCCATTGTACGTCATGGACCACGCTTGACACTTTCGCCTCTCTTAACCAGCTCAAGCCTCCCGTGAATCACGTGACTTCTGTATAGCCCCCCCCTCCCCCCCACTTTAAACCCCCCCCCCCCCCCCCGCCGTCGTCGCCGCCCGCTGTGAGAACAGACGCCGAGCAGCTCGCTCCTGCCTTTTCTCTGCTCCCTCTCTCTAAAATGTTAACTCCATCGCCTGGTATGCAGGAGGTCGTGAGTTCTCTCTCTCTCTCGCTCTCTCCCTGTGGTCTTGTGGATTTTCTCTGCGTCCTCCGGTTTTTCCCACCACGTTTATAATCGACGCGTGCTTGACGTCTTCGGCTGCTGTGTCCACACGATGAGCCACTACGTCGAGCTCTCGTTTGTGGCCAGGTCGCTTCTGAGCTACATTGTTCGGTGGGCCTTACCTGGTAAAATAAAACAAATAGTCTATCGTAGTTTTACTTTCTCTTTTCCCCATTTGTTGTGTCCTTGACGCGATTGCTCTGCCCGTTGTGTCAACGTGAAATCGGAAACAAGTAACGATTAACCGTTGAAGCAGGGAAAACGCAAAACAATTTCCCTCCCCTCCCGAGATGTTGATCTGGCTGGAACCAAATAACACAAACCTTGTACAGTTACGTCTCGTGGGGGGGGGGGGGGGGGACACCGCTATCCAGACGAACCGGTTCCAGACACCAGCCCAGGTGTCGACAGGTGGCTTTCACGGAGCTCACCTGGGGGGTGGTGGAGACGTCTGGGCCAATCCAGCCTGCAGGTTAAACCCAAGATGGATTGTCGGCAGGCCAGCCTGAATGTTTCCGACCGGTGCAGATGTTCCATTAGGATTTGGGGGGGGGTGGGGGGGGTCCACGTTTCACAAGCATAGAGAAGGGGGGATGGCATGACTGTGGCATCCAACACACATTTATTTTCACTTGTATATCCGTCTTTGTAGGGTTGTTTTGCTCTTAGTTTACTAAGGGGTTTTTACTGGCATTGTGTTACTTGTTTGCACACAAAGACAAAGATCCCCCGTAATAGCCTTAACAAACTGTTGGGACAAGTGTTGTTAGTGAATAGCGCCTATGAAGGCCGGCACAGTAAACGAGGGGATGTGTGGCCAGCAACATGCCCTTTGTCTCCCGAGCGACGATGTTTGCGCATCGCACACCAGTTACATAATTGAGGCCGAGTCGACCCAGTGGAGGCCCAGTACCGGTTCATATACTCGTCACTGGTGTTGGCCGTGAGCGGGAATCGTTAACCGCTCCATCACCGCCCCCCACCAACACACTCACAACAACAACCGGCATTCGCCACGGCGCTTGTGCCAGGCTATGTCCACACACCCACATACACAAACCACTCGCTGGCACCGGGGAAGCCTTACAGATTTACCCAGAACAGCTCCTTCAAGAAGACGGCAATCTCTGGGAAAACCCGGGGGGCACGCAGAGTTTCCCATTGCGGTGACCCCTAACCGTGACCTCTTCACCCCCCCCCACCCAACCCCCCCTCTCTCGGCAGAACGTTCTCGCCAAGGCCCTCTATGACAATGTGGCCGAGTCTCCGGACGAACTGGCCTTCCGCAAGGGCGACATCGTGACGGTGCTGGAGCAGAACGCCGGCGGCCTGCAGGGCTGGTGGCTCTGCTCGCTGCACGGGCGCCAGGGCGTCGCTCCGGGCAACCGCCTGCGCCTGCTCGTCGGCTGCTACGAGGGGGGTGGCACGGGAGGAGCCGGCGGCGGCGCTGCTGCCGCCCGGCAGACCTGCGCCGCCAACGCCGGCTCGGAAAGGGGCGGCTTCCGCTCGCAACCGCAGGAGGACGTCTACCGGGTGCCACCGTCGCCGGGATCGGCTCAAGGTCTCTACCGGGTGCCGCCCTCCCAGGGCGTGTACAACGTGCCGCCGGCGGCGCCCGGTTCCGGTTCCGGCGGCGGCGGCCAGGCCCTCTACCAGGTGCCGCCCTCCCTCGCCGAGTCCCGCGACGACGTCTACCAGGTGCCGCCTTGCTCCTCCTCTGCGGCGGCGGGCGACGGGCCCCACGACGCCGGCCGGGACGTGTACCAGGTGCCGCCGTCGCTGGCGGCCCAGGACGTGTACCAGGTGCCGCCGTCGCTGGCGGCCCAGGACGTGTACCAGGTCCCGCCGTCGCTGGAGGCCCCCCGCGCGGCCCAGACTGTGGGGGGCGCGGGTCAGAGGGGGGGGCCCCAGGCCCGGCTGAGCCCCACGCGGAGGGGGGGCGGCGGGGCCACGGACGGGGTCGCCCCGCCGACGCCGGACAGGAATCCCAGCGGCGGTGGAAGTGGCGGCGGCGTTGGGCAAGACTCGTGCCGGGTCCACGCCGGGGAGGTGAGTGGCGATGGGGGAACTCTGCGTGACTGCGTGCGTGTGTGGGGAGCGGTGGTGTAGCGGTTTTGCGCGCTGCGCTACGTACCCGGTGGCCCGGGTTCGATGCCCGCTCACGGTCCAACACCACTGTTGGTTATCTGAACCGGTCCTGGGCCTACCCCCTAGGCCTCAAGCAGCAGGCTGACGACGACTTCCGGAGTTTAGCAGCACGGGGTGTGGAGGAGGAGGAGGAGGAGCAGGGTGAAGAGTAGTTCCAGGTTGTAAGAGAGCGGAGTGCGGAGGAGGTGTAGCGCTCTGTACTACTCCAGGGTCGGCAGGGTCGCACGGCGAGATGAAGAGAGGTGAGGGACAAGGGGGGGGGCGGTAACAGACGGGAAGGGTGAGAGAGAGAGAGATCCACCGTGTGATGGTCTAAACCAATATTTTTGATTCTCATCGTGGGATTTGGGCCAAATTAGAATCAAACGTAACTCGCTGCGGTATTGACGCGGCCGTTGGGTCGCCGGGCCGGTCCCATCGGCGCGCTCCGCCTGGAGGAGCCGACGGATCGGATCGCCAGTTTGGGAGCTGCGAAACCCAGAAGCTTGCGCATGGCGCTGGATCAATGCTCTGACCCCGCTGCCGGCATCGATTGCGACGCCCAGGGATCGATGCGCACGTCGCTTGCCCGCGGAATCAACGGATCGGCGACGCATCCTTGACCCCCCCCCCCCCACTGGTTACCAGACAGGGTGATCCCCCCACCCACGCCAACCCCTCCCCCATACCCCACCCCCCCCATCTCTGTCGTAATGTTTTATTATCTTTGTTGTAACTGCCAGAGGGATCTCATTACTCGATGGAAACATTTAGCAACAGTGGTGAAAAAAAAAAACGCTTGGCAATTATTTTATTCTTAACATTGTCGGGGATGGAAATGATTCCATTGTTATCGCATTGTTGTTGCAATCGGTAATGTCAACAGCGGCTTTGTTAATAACGGACTGGATTCTTGCCACGGGAATGTGGAATTTCCGGCGCTGGCGCTGAGATGAGCTCACCGCATTGCTTACTTGGAGCAGGCTCGAATTTAGATGTTGGCAGTTATTTAAAAACCGTAACTTGCGTTGCGCTGAAGCATTCGCGATGCCAAGCGATCAGTGTGCCGAGCGTTCGAGTCGACGAGGATTTAATACACCGAGCAATCGATATGCCCCCACTTTGTGTGTACATGCCGCTGTTTGAATGCAACCAGGTTGCACGGCATGGTGTGGTTTATCCACCCCGCGCACCGCTCGCAAGCAGCACCGCAGGGACTCGGGGTGGGGGGCAGGTGGAGAGGTCGGGGGGGAGAAAAAAGCTTTAGCCCCCCACTAAATATCACTCCGGGCAGGGGATGGAGGGGGGGTGCGTGATGGAGGGGGGGGGGTGCCCACGGCGGTGGGGGGGGGGGGGCTCCAGGAACCTCCAGGAACCAGCCAGGCTGTGCTGCCGGCCTGCGAACGGTTTAATTTGGTAAAATTACGATCTCGTAAAACTCTCTCGAAGCACAAGGGGGGGGGGAGCTTCCACACGGAGGGGGGGGGGGACGGCTGCAGCGTTAACAGAGCGGAGAGAGAGAGAGGTAACAAACACCACCAAGTGTGCGGCCCGGCCCCATGCCACTGTTATGACAGCCGGGATCAAAATAAGAGTTGCGACTTTTGTTTTTGTAGAAAGTTTGGGGGGGGGGGGGGTGGGTACTGGTTGCGGGGTGGAGTCTGGTGAGGCGGCTGGTGGTGGTGGTGACGGGTGCATTGTGGGTTATCTCGCACTATCTACTGCTGGATGGGATGCCTCTCCACGGGTCTCGGTCATGGGTTTGTTGCGGTATAGACGTGGGAGGATAGCCGGGACGATTGACTGTCGAACTGCCTTCTGCTGCCCACCATGCAGCCCTGCCATCTGTAGCCTCTAGCACCTGGGTATGCATAGCGATCGCCCATCCCATGCACGGCCCAGGCTCGGCACCTGCCGAGCTTGTGAGATGTCACGAGATGAGGCGCGTGTCTTGGTGATTTGTTGTCACGCTAGCTATTTGTTATTTTAGCAGGCAAGGCCGACTAAGCTCTGTAGCTCTTTTTCAGAAGCCACCTGGCCACAAATGATAGCCCAACGATGTGGGCTTATCACGTGGAAATGTATATCAGCCAAATACTCTAAACGTGTGATGTTGATTCTAAATGTGAAGGGAAAAACCGGAGGATCCGGAGAAAATTCCACACGACCACGGGGAGAGAGAGAGAGTGAACATGTAAACGCCGAATATATACACACGTGTCACGGTCGGGATCGAACCCACGACCTCCTGCATACCAGGCGAGGTAGCTAACATCTCGACATCGCGGGTGGTGATAGTGGTGACCTCTGCTTTGCCCAAGAAGCCTCACCGAGTCTCAAGACAGTGGCCAACGAGTGTCCTGCTGCTGCCACCTTGCTTTGAGCAGCGTGGCGGTCGCGCTTGCAAGCGGACACCAGAGAGACAAGGTGCTAAAAACACAAAGATACCCACCCCCCCCCCCCCCCCCCCCCCCCACGAAGCTTTTCACGGACTCTTGGGGCAAGTGCGCAAGGTTGGTGGGTTTACTGGGACGGTGCCTTGTAGGCGGATGGATTACCCTGGAGATTGAAGTTGCTGGGTCTCTTCGTCCGTGATGCGGCCCCAAAATAACAGCGGTGCAGGTCCCTCTGTGTTCACGCGCGGGGTTATGAGTGGTTCCCTCTACGAGGATCCAGGCCGATGGCTGCTGGTAATGATGATCCCGTCTTTCGTACAACATCGCCTCAACGTTTGGACGGATCAACGTTGAGGCCCAACGCCTGAAGTTGCCTTGACGTTGACCCGACGGTTCCAACCACATTATGAGACCTCCTTTGCCAGAAACAAGATATAGGAATAGGTTTTACCCTTTTAACTGGCACAAAAACTGACACCTTTATTCAAGGCATCATGTTTGCAATAACCACAACACAAGCAGTCAAAATGCAAACAAAAAAGACAACTCTGATAATAATATGCACTGTCCTTGAATTTGATTGGTCCACACCCGAGACAGCTTTTCTTAGAGCCTAGTCTCCATTGGTGTTGGACCAGAAGACGCCAAAAGGCGTACAACTCAAAAACAGTGCGCTGTTTTCAAATTCAAGGACAGTGCATATTATTATTATCAGAGTTGTCTTTTTTGTTTGCATTTTGACTGCTTGTATTGTGGTTATTGCAAACATGATGCCTTGAATAAAGGTGTCAGTTTTTGTGCCAGTTAAAAGGGTAAAACCTATTTCTATATCTTGTTACTGGCAAAGGAGGTCTCATAATATAAATGCTCACCCCGAGCCCTCAATACTCTGATAGTGTGCTGTTTTTGAGTTGTACGCCTTTTGGCGTCTTCTGGTTCAACACCAATGGAGACTAGGCTCTAAGAAAAGCCGTCTCGGGTGTGGACCAATCAAATTCAAGGACAGTGCATATTATTATTATTATCAGAGTTGTCTTTTTTGTTTGCATTTTGACTGCTTGTGTTGTGGTTATTGCAAACATGATGCCTTGAATAAAGGTGTCAGTTTTTGTGCCGGTTCCAACCACGTGCCGACGTTGGATCGGCGTTTCGGAAGAAGGGACCATAATGGCCGACGGTAAACCGTGGACTCAACGCTGGCCCACCGTTTCGCGTTCTGCCGGGGCACGTAATCATTCGTTTGCCGTCACTTGCCCCCTTTATCGATCCGTGGTAACTTTAGAAAGCATCGCAGTTCAAATGGAGGGGGGCTGTGTTGCGCCCTTATCTTATCTTCAGCCGCCCCGTCCACGAGCACACATCCGCACAGAGGCACTGAAGTCACTGGGGCCTCCTGGGAGCCAACACAGCAGCGGCTTGAACCAGTGGTCCTCAAACGGGGGTGGGGGGTACGCGCGGACCCTTGGGGGGTATGTAGCAGTGTCTCGGGGCGGAGGGGGGGGGGGTAACGTGGGGTGATTTATGAAACCGTTCCATTACATCGTACTGGAGTGAGTCATTGGGTGAACAATCACGTACGTGAATCTGTCAATATAAAATAACCGCGATAAGATTTAAATCCACGTGGTATCCGAGAACGATTTAAACGATCTTCATGAACTCACTGACCGTCAACAATGTCGGCGGCTTCCAAGAGTAAGCAGCGAGCGCGAGCGAATCACGTGACGCGTGCAGAGCGTCACGTGATTTGTATTTTATAGTCGCTCGCAGTCACTTAGCCAGGCACAAGGATTACCTCACAAAATGGACGATTTGGTTAAAACGTCGTTGTTCATTATCTGCAACATTTATTTCTCAGAACCATGTTGGGGTCAGAGCAAGGGATGGGAGGGCAGTGTACTTGGTGTGAAACACAGTTCAATAACGTGGGGGGGGGGGTGGGGGTACACACACACATTAGCCAAGACGAGGTTGAGAACCAGCGGCTTCATAAACCCAGCTCGAGTCCTTCGTGAGTCCTCCCCCTTGGCTCCCCACTTGCTCCACCCACACAGCGAGACGGAAACTCGAGGAGACCCTCGCCCCCCCCCCCCCCCCCCCCCAAACGGAACGACGGCGACGCAACCGGAGGAGTCTCGCGAATTCGGTGGTGAACATTTTAATTGGGGAATTAGCCCCCCCCCCCCCACCCACCACAACCACCAACCCCCTCCCTCCCTCCCACCCACTACCATCACCAACCCCCGCTCACCAAAAACAACTACCCAGGCACACCGAGCCCCCCACCCCACCCACTAAGCCACCCACCCACCAAGCCACCCACCCACCAAGCCACCAACCCACCCACCAACCTACCCCACCCACCCCACCCCACCCACCAAGCCACCCACCCCACCCACCCACCCGACCCACCCACCAAGCCCCCGTCGGTCCCCTCCTCCGGGCCGAGTCTGGAAATGGAACCCCGAACGCTGCAGCTGAAGCCAAATTGGCAGAGGCCGTTACATTCCAGCCTCGGCTGCATCACCGGGGGAAGGTGAGTGATGAGGTAAATCCACCAGAATGTGTGCGTGTGTGTGGTGTGTCTTTGCGTGTATATATATATGTGTGTGTGCGTTTATATCTTTTGGTTATGTGGCGGGGTGTGGGGGGAGCGGTGGTGTAGTGGTTAGCTGCGCTGCGCTCCGCTACGAGCCCGGCGACCCGAGTTCTATTCCCGCTCACGGCCGACACCAGTGACGATTATCTGAGCCCGTCCTGGGCCTCCCCTAGGTTGACTCAGCCTCAAGTAGCACTTGGCGAGACGTGTAAACACATCTGGGGAAGGGCGGTCGGGCGCGGTGCTGGCTGCCCACCCCCTCGTGTGCGGTGCCGGCCTTCATAGGTGCTACTCGCTAGCGGCGCTTGCCCCAACAGTCTGTTAAGGCTATACGGGGGATCTTTGTCTTTGTCGGCACAGTACGGGGCACAGCTGACGGTGCATCTGCCGCTCATCTCAGTCGACCCATGGCACCTGCAGGGTCTGTCCCGTGACCTCCCGTCATCAGCTCAGAGCCTTTGATACTTTTACGTGGCCTCAAAGTGCACCTGGCCTGGCACGGACGCCGTGGTGACGTCACCGTCACTTAGTGGCAAATGGCGGTTGTTGTTGTAGTGTATCTGTGAGGGTGTGTAGCGTATCTGTGAGTGTAGTTTATCCGAGTGTGCACTTTCGCGGTCTCATGCTGCAGCCGTTCACGTGATCCCTTCCACGGCCAACACCAGTGGTGAGTGATGGCACCTGTGAAAAAGAGCTTTGTAGCTCATCGGATTCCTCCAGTATGAATAAATATTCTGATCTGAGCATCTGAGCTCACCCTGGGCGTCGCCTCGGTCCACTCGGCCTTAACATCCATTCCTCGCTCACAGCACTTGCCCCAACGGCCTGGGTGTCTATACTGGGAGGGGGTGGAGCTTTATCTTTGTAGCGCTCTGCTGCTGGTTGCTGCTCTCGAACGCTCGTCGCTCGAGGCCGCGCGAGTCCGGGCACGGCGCGGAGAAGCGGGGAAGACTGGTTCTGTCTCCCCCCTCTCCCTGTCGCTCTCCCCCCCCTCTCCCCACCTCTCCCCCCCTCTCTCCCTGTCGCTCTCCCCACCACTCCCGGTCTCTCTACCCCCCCCCCTCCATCCCTGCCTCTCTCCCCACTCCTCTCCCGCCCCCTGTCCCCGTCTCTCATGGGGAATGTGGAACAAAGACAAAGATCCCCTTTGTAGCCTTAGCAGACTCTTGGGGCAAGTGCTGTTAGCTATCGAGCACCTATGAAGGCCGGCACGGCCTTTGTCTCCCCAGTGTCGATGTTTACACACCGCACCGGGTACTCATTTGAGGCCGAGTCGACCTAGGGGAGGCCCAGGAGCGGTTCAGATAATCGTCACCGCTGTTGACCGTGAGCGAGAATTGAACGAGGAGAGATACAAACACGAAGTGGGGTGGGTGGGGGGTGGGAAGTCTACTCACTCCTCAGCTGTGCCCCCTACTCTGCCAACAGTACACACCCACGGACTCTTGAGTCCAAACGCATACCACAGAAATACTTCCGTGATTCCATGCGCTTTGAGGAAGGTCCATTGCCCGAAACGTTGTCCGTCCCGCGTACGGTGTTGTTTGACGAATGTGTTGAGTTGTGCGATGTGCGAGCTCCGCTGCCGCTGCAGCAGCGTCACCACATAATTAAATAATGTACCACCCCACGAATCCGAAAACTTACGCTGCAGAAAATGTGGACCCCCACCTGTGTATGTACGGGGATAGAGTGTTTCCCCCTCGCACGCGTGGTGCGTTTTCTCCGGGTGCTCCGGTTTCCTCCCACTTGCGTATCAGCAGACATTAATTGGCCGAATACTTCTTAATATGTAGTGGACCGCAGCGCTTGGGCAATTGCCAGAGCCGGCTCCTCGCCAACGTGTGGCCGCCGCCGCTGCTGCCTTCCCGCTCGTCTGTGGTTCATCCTCCTCCTCGCGCCTCTGGCTTGTCCCCCCCTCTCTCTCTCTGTCTCTTGAGTCGTCCCCTCTTCACGAGAGCGATGAGCGGGTACCGTGCATCGGTGGTGACGCAGCGTTACGAGTTGACGTGATGATGATGATGATTACTAATGTTGTTGTTGCTCGGGTCGTACCGCGTATTGTTCTTCCCCATGATGTCCGCCCGTTGGTTTCGCCCCGCGCGCTGAAGAAGTTCCAGCGCCAGGCTCCGCGGCGTGTGGAGCGAAACGTCGGACACCGTGCCGCGCGAACGTGTGCGGCACAAGCCGAAGACGGAGCGCGGCCACGGAAAAACCCCCACGGTATCGGGGGGCGGTACCACCGCTTGCGGTGATCTCATCGTCCCCCTGCCTCTCCCTGTGCCCCCTCCCCCCCCTCCGCCCGTTACCCCCCCCCCATCCCCCAATCAGGCATCTCCTCGCATGTCCTCCGATGATGTCTATGACGTGCCCCCCTCACTGGGATGTGCCACCCCCCCACGGCCCAACACCCGGACGGGCCAGGCCCCCCTGCACCACCACCTCCTCCACCACTACAGCAACCACAACCAGCAGCAGCAGCACGGCCTTCATCTACTGGCATCAGGGGCCGGCGGGGAGCATGAACTTCAGGTGAGGGGGGAGCACAGGGTGCCTAAGCCCGCCAACAGCATGTGCGTGCGTGTGTGTGTACGTGCGTGTGCGGTAGTGTAGCGGTTAGCGCGCTGCGCTATGAACCCGGCGACCCGGGTTCGATTCCCGCTCACGGCCAACATCAGTGACGATTATCTGAACCGGTCCCGGGCCTCCCCTAGGTCGACTCGGCCTCAAATGAGTACCTGGTGCGATGTGTAAAATCGCTGGCCACCCACCCCCTCGTGTGCCAAAGTGTCGACCTTCATTGGCACTACATGGTAACAGCACTTGTCCCAACAGTCTGTTAAGGATAAACTGGGGATCTTTGTCTTTGTTGTTCGTTGTGCGTTGCGTGTCTGTGTGGACGTTGCGTCTAAACGTCGCTCCCGGTGACACCACAAGGGCACTTTATTTACGAACGCTTTCCAACTGAGGTCGAGCGCGCAAGTGCACGAGCTCTCGCGAAGACGATCCGATTTAAATTGCAATTTTTAGTTCAAAGTTGTGATGCTGTGTACCAGGGGGACTTGCGGTAAAACAAAACAAAAAATCGGCGGTAAAAGGCATCAGCCGTCGTCGGCCGCCTGTGACATCAGCCGACACTTGCACCGTGACGCCAGCGCCGCACGACGGGCGCCTCCCGTGGCGAACGGCGTCACGGCACCTGGGGCCCGGCCGCTGGTAAAAATGTTTCCGTAACCGCGAGCCCTCTTAAAACGACGACGTTTAGGCCCCGGGTGCCGCCGTTAAACACCCACGGCGGCGGGGGGGGGGGGGGGCGGCGGGGCGGAGGAAACGTAATTGTCCGGAATTATGTTAATTGATGTAATTATGCACATAAATTAGGCTAATTAGAGATACTCGCATTAATTTATGTGAATGTATGCGATTGTGCCAATGTGAGCAGTTATGATAATTAAGCCCTTCCTCGCTGTCGAGGGTAGTATTATCAATCGGGATCATACGATTAATTGTATGCAGTTATGCAGGTGTGCTGTAAGTATGCTAGATTAAGCTCGGCTTCGTTGTCTTCGTTGTGTAGGTTCGTATTATCGATCGTTAATAATATAATTATTCTCGCTTTAACATTTACTGATTATCTATTAGTGTGTTTATGTCAGGTCTCCAAATTAAAATCTCATCCGCAGGATACAGTTCTTCTTATTAAGATTATTACGCATGAACTCGGGAAAGAAACACTCAAACACTTCTGTGTTAAGCAATTTTAATTTATAAACAAAACCTTAACACTCTAATATGCAAATTCTTATGCTTGGAATTGTCAACACAGTACTCCAGGAGATGTTCCCCTCATTGATCCATTCATTTAACGCTAAATGATCACGTTTGTTAAGTGGGTAACAGAACAAATGATTATTTCCTTAGAGTAACACGAGCATATACGGCAAATAGAAATAAAAAGTCCTTAAAAATTCAATGAATCCACGGGCAAGATTACGTAATTTAACGAAATGTTGAAACCTTGGTGTGCAGCAGTATGCCTGCTTCAGCAAATACTCATTAATTGGCTGAGGTTTCAATAAATTTACGGACAGATTCTGTGATCAAAAGAAAGATTTCAACACAATATTCTCCGTGTGAGTGTGTAGATTCGTAACTTAGGGTTTTAAACGTTTAGTTTTCATAAATGAATTCGTTGAAAATATTTGTGCAAATCAAAAAGAAACATCACTACTAAAATACTTCTAAACGACCGTTTCCCCATAACCCAATGGCAACCGTGTTCTTCGTTATCAGTTGATACTTGACGCACTTATCACGAGTCTTCTTATTCATGATTCGTGTTTGTGTTGAGTGGGGATGGTATGGGTTGAGTGGGGATGTGTTCTTGATCAATTCTTCGCGTCAAGCAGACGACAGGTGATGCGTTGTAATGCGTGGCGGTGTGCGTATCGTACGGATAGCTGGGTTCTCCTCCTTTCACACGGGCGGCCACAGTTTCTGTCCACAGCTGGGTGGAAGAGTCGGAACGACGCTCGCCGTCTGTGTGCGATGATCCGTCGTCAGATAGCGCCCGCAGCTCGTCCGCTCGCCGCAGTTCCTCGCTCTCGTCTTGGTTCCCAGCCGGTGCCGGTCGGCGCGCGTGTGGGTCGAACCCACGGCGCGCTCCGCTGGCGCCGACGCTCTCGCTCACGGGCGGCCGGTCAGGCTCTTTCCCCTGCTGGATGGGCCGAGTCGGCGCAACGCTTGTCCGCTGGCAGCTGTCACCCTTCGCTCGGTGGCGCTGGTGGCGCTGCTGCGCGACTCTCTCTTGCTCCGTCTCTTTCTGGCGGCGCCGGTTGCGCGTGCAGCTGGTTTCCTGCAATGCTGGCTCGGTCGATGCTTGGCCCTCTCTCCGCCCTCTCTCGAGGTTGATTGCTCGACGCTGAGAATAACTTTCAGCGATACTCTGTCGGTCCATGCCGAACTCAGCACAGAGCATCACCTCGCCCCCCTTCTCTGCGATGCACCACACGCGTTGTTGTTGTTGATCTCGAGGCCATGCCCCGGAGCTGGCTTGCTGTCCTCATCCGAGCTGTCCCTTGCCGAGCTGATGGTCGCCGTCTTCTGCCGCTGGTAGCTGTGATGCAATGTGTGGCCCGTGTCTCTCTTTTTATGCCAAAATTTCTTCCTCTGCTCGCCTTCTCACAAAGGACCGGAACTTCCTTTGATCTCGCTCTGTGTTGTGGTGGGGGGGGGGGAGGGTTGTACGTGTGTCCGTGTGTGTTCTGACTTATTAAGCCATCTGTGTCTCTCCCTGGCTTGATTACTGTCGCCCTCCTCAAGGTATCTTTTCATCCGTGCAACACAGATGCCCCACCTGCAATAACAGCTCTCTGTGGGAGTCATTTCCCTCGCTCTGGGCATTACATTCTTTGCTATCCCGTGCTGCGGGAAGACAAAGACGGTTGGGAGGCTCTTTTCCTATCGGATACAGTTTATCTTGGTTGTGTAAGTTTGACCTATTCGGCCTCATCTCTTCTGGATAACCCTCGGTTTAATACTGCATAACTATTATTTGGTTTGTGTTTGCCAAGATTTGTGATTTAACATTATCATCACCACGTATTTCTTAGGGTTTATTAATTTCGTCCCCCTGTTTGTATCCTGGGTTTGTGCTGTTTGTTCTCGAGTTATTGTTATTATCTGATATCCGCTGGTTAGAGAATTCGTTTTGGCTTAGGAATAACCCTGACTGCCAGAATTCTTCTTGATGCTTTGGTCAGGTCGTGTAGAAAATTATTAAAGGTGAAAATAACATTAGTGTTGAATTAATAAATGAGGAGTAATTATCCACTTATGTAGATTGTAGCCTGGTTTTTAATAATAATGTTAGCTTCATCTTTGGTCGCTAAGTTTTGGAATTTTTACCGTTTGTTAGAAGAAACATGAAAGTTAACCAAACGAAACGCCTGTTTGTTATCCTTCGTCGGGGGGGGGGGGGGGGGGGGGGGCGTGTGTGTTTTTTTTCTTTATGACTGACCACTTTCTGTTGGTGGGAGGGGAGGGTGTCATTGTCTTTTCGAGAGTGACAAGGCAGCTGCTCGAGAAGGGGGGGGGGGGTTCCGTTTGTTTGTGCTCCCAGCGACCCCGCGAGTGATTATATGAAAATAAAAAATTGGCAAAATCATTCTTAATATCAAAAATGGAAAAAGGCCTATATATACAACATGTCCTTCCTCGGCGCTAACGGAGCTTCGGAAAAACCCTGGCGTCGCGCGACCTCGGTGGGGAGGCCGGGCGCGTAGCTACAGCTACAAGGTGAGAGCCGGCGCGCCTAAAGGCCCTCCTCCTCTGACCGCGCCTGCCTGTCCCTCGGGCCCAGGTGTACGACGTGCTGCCCGCGAGTGGGAGGGGGGGCGGCTGTGGCGTCGGCCAGGATGTGTACGACACGCCGGCGTCGCTGGGCCGCATGGTGCCCCCCGTGCCTTCCATGGCTCAGCAGCACCAGCAGCAGCATCATCATCAGCAGCAGCAGCAGCATCATCATCAGGTGACGTCTTGCGTCACGCACAGCATGGGCACACGTGGTGAGCACAGTGTCGTGAAATCACTGGCATGCGGTGAAAGCGTCGATTTGCCTTCAATGACGCCAAGCAACCTCCCATGACATGCGGCCAAGGCTTCGTATCTCATCTCGGTGTCCTCCGGTTTTCCCCCCTACATTTAGAATCAATCTGGGTTGGCTACTATAAATTTCCACACGATAAGCCGCTTTGTGGCCAGGTCACTTCTGAATAAAGAGCTACATAGCGCGGTGGGCCTTACCTGGTGAAATAAAAATAGTGTTAGTTAACTTTTGTTTAATCTTCCCGCCTCGCCCTGTTTCAGATGGAGACGATGACCTCCGTGGATGAGACCTACGATGTCCCTCCGGCCTTCGGGGGCCGCAGCGTGCAGCAGGCGACCTCCGGTGCCGACGGACAGCGGCAGGCCACAGCCTCCAACGGCTACCCGCGCCAGCAGCAGCAACAGCAGCAGCAGCTGCGGCATCAGCCGACGAGGAACGGCAACCACGCTCACACCGCCGAATCGCGGCGCTCCTCGGACGACGAGGTGTACGACGTGCCGGCGCTCGCCAGGGGCACGCGGGGCGAGACCCCGGCGCCCGAGAGGCCGCCGGGGCCCGTCTTCCCCTACGCGGGCACCACCGCCGCGCCGCCCCCCCCCGGCCAGGAGATATACGACATCCCGCCGGGCCTGCAGGCACCCAGGTCCGAGCCGCGCGAAGCGCTGGCCACGGCGGTGCTGGCGGCGACAGACGATGCCGAAGAAGACGTCTACGACTGCCCCAAGCCCGCGGTGCCGGCGTCGGCCGACCGCGCCGCCGCTTCCGGCCGCGCGGGGAGCTCGGAGGCGCCGGTCCCGCACGGCGGGAGGGCCACCGCGCCGGACTCGCAGGCGGCGGTGGCGCCCGCGGCGGCGGAGGCCTCGGCGGAGGCCCCGTCGGCCTCGTCGGCCTCGTCGGCCTCGCAGGACATTTACGACGTCCCCAGGGAGGTGTACGCCTCCGTGCGCAAGGCAAGGTCGGAGGCAGCGTTGTCGCGGGACTGCGAGTACGACGTCCCGCCGGCGGCCTCGCGCGACGCCGCTTGCGCCGAGCCGCGGTCGGTGGTGCCGGGAGTCGGGCACCAGGCGGCCGCCGCCATCAGGGCGAGCGTCGGGCGGGGCGGCGGCGGCGCCTCCTCCTCCTCCTCCTCGGCGCCGGCGCGAGCCTCCAAAGACGTCGCGTCGCCGCATTCCGGCTCCCAGCAGCAGCAGCAGCAGCAGCAGCGAGCGGCGCCCGCGGCGTACGTCGGGGGCGCGCACGGATCGTCCAACGGGCCGGCGGGGCCTCAGCGCGGGGTCCCCGTGCCGCTCGGGAACGGCCTCTCCCACGGCGGCGTCGTCGTCGGCCACAACGGGGCAGGCTACGGCGACGGCGGACCCAGGAGGTTGCCGGGGGGCGGCGGGGACCGGCCGGGGGGCATCCAGGCGCGACCGCTGCCGTCGCCGCCGCCTTTCCCCTCCATGCCGTGCGGCGACGGGAACGACTCGGCGGATGGGTCGTGCGACCCCGGCTCGGACGAGTACGACTACGTCCACCTGCAGGTGAACGCCGTGGGCTCGCGGTGTCCCATGGGTGAATTATTATTAGGGGGCGCCACGGCAGCGAGATGTTAAATTTCTCGCCTGGAGTTTGTGTGTTTCTCTCTCTCCCCGTGGTCACGTGGGAATTTGTGTGTTTCTCTCTCTCCCCGTGGTCGCGTGGATTTTTCTCCGGGTCCTCCAGTTTCTCCCTCCACGTTTAAAAACGTGTTTTGAGGGTATTTTGTTGCGATGAAGTTCCACGTGATAAGCCCCTTCGTTTAGCTATCATTTGTGGCCAGGTCTCATCTAAAAAAAGAGCTGTATAACTCAGTGGGGCCTTACCTGATAAAATAAAAAAAAAAGTTTCGTTTGATTTATCCGGGCTGGGGAGTATAACCGCGCATGGAAAGTTTTTTTTTAATTCCTAAGTGATTTCTGGGTCAGATCGCAAACTAAAACGTGCGTCGTACACCCCTCTCCACCCGACACGGCCGATTAATCAAACGTGTCAACGCATTTCCCCTCTGAAGCAGCCGGTCGTTAGCAACCAGCATCAGTTGCCATGAATTGTGAACGTGTCCATCAGACCAGGGTGGCGTGCTTCCCATGCATACTTTGTATTTATGGGAGCGCCGATTCGATTGTCGACAGCTCCCCACTCGCCGAGGGTCAGGCCAATTGGTGCCGACGTGGCCACCAGCGTGAACCAACGACAAAAGGAGTTCACAATTATTGTAGAATAATTCACTCTGCGTCTCCCCCCCCCGCTTTCCCCAGATCCTACGTTTTGTAGCCTAATGTCAGCGAATGGTGGCACATAAACAAATACACACACACACAGTGCGTATGCAGTGCACAGGTATCCCTCGATTTACGAGAGAGGGGAGGCGTTCTTAAAAGAATCAAAACATTTCGATTTAAAGCTTTCGTGACTGCAATGATTCATCTTCTTTGGTTCTTTCGGTAAAGTCACGTAGAATGAGAATAAAATAATAAATTGATAAAATAAAATAACACAATAATATTCTCACGACGTTTCGGCCACAACACAAGCGGCCTTCATCAGGTGAAGGGGCGAGACTGTCTGGACTGTCTGGTAGGACAGCGCTGGAGGTGCGTTTCGGTCAACGTCTTTTAAAAACAACAGCGCTACGCCTCCTCTACATAAAAATGAACGCAGAGTCACTTGCGCGCTCCCGAGATTCGGAGGTGAACAGGCACACCCACACCCCGCAACTTGCAGACACCTCGGAACGGGAAAGGGTTAACGAGCATTTGCACGCGTGAGAGGAGACCTGGAGAAAGCCCACACATGCGAGGGAGGTCAACGCCATGCAGATGGAACAGGTGGGAGTCCGCATTGGCCTTCTGGCGAGCCGGGATACGGCACCCCCTCGACGTTCAACGGGAAGGGAGTTTGACAAACTTCGGTGATCCAACAACCCTCGCCTCCGCAGCCGCCGGCACGCGGGGCGCCACGTGCAGTAGCGTAGCCCCCGCCGCCCGGCTCGAAGTTCTGTGCCACCATTGCCCCTCTCCCACCCCTCATCACCTCTCCTTCCTCCTCCTCCAGGCAAAGGATGACCCAGAGCCGGAGAAAACGAGCAACGGGATGGGACCGATCAAAGATCAGATCGAGCTGATTCAGGTGAGCGCTCGCCGCTCGTTTGACGTGCGCGTCAGGTCGCGTGGCGTGATGGAGGGGGGGCGGTAGTGTAGCGGTGAGCATACCGGTAACGCCGACGAATATTTGAACCGGTCCTGGGTCCTCCCCTAGGTCGACTCGGCCTTAAAGGAGTACCTGACGCGGTGCGTGAAACAACGGCTCTGGGGAGACAAAAGCGGCCGGGCTTGGTGCTGGCCACCCGCCCCCCTCGCGGCCTTACGCGGGCGCGCTGCACGCTATCGGAATTTGTCTTTGTAAAATCCCATTGGGTCGCCCCCATTCATGCGGGGGCCACGCGGGGGCCACCGCCCGCCCTGCTTGCATGGCGCCGCCGGTGGAGAAAACCGGAGCCCACCCACCCCGCTGTTGGTTTGAGCGCGACGCTTCTAACCACCATTTCCCATATTCCGTACCCCCCCCCCCGCCCCGCCGCCGTGCTTATCTCTCGGCATGCAACAATCCACCACTGCCCCTCCTGAATGAACCTATAAATAGTCGTGAATCCGGCGGTGTAGCGTGACTTTGATTAAAGTTGGGGGCAGCGGGCGACGACGCCGTCACTGTTGTAAACCAATCTGAAACGAATGTTAAACGCCAAACGGAATGAGTCAAGGTGCGACTTTGCCTCTGTCGACTCTAACACGTGTGTAAATATCGCATCGACATTGTTTAATCTCCCTTAAGGATTTAGAAGGTGGTGGGGGGGGGGCGTAGCGGAGGGTGAGTTGACGGGTTCAACCGTACTACGATGCTATGGGGCCGTATGAATGAATAGGCAGCTTACGGGCGACCTGTGCGGAGTGCGGTGTTGATGATTTATTTTTTCATCATCGGCTCGGTTCATGACGGAAGTGCGTGAGCGGCGTCCGGGCCACCCCACCCCTCCTATCTGATTACAGTTACGTTGCTGCTATCGTTGTCGGTATTGTTCTGTTCACACGAAGGGGTTTCGCAGCCGACATGATTCCGAATTGATATTTTGTGGTTCGGGGCCCCGTACACCACGTGGCCAAATGTTGTGGACTCTCCGGCACGCTCTGACTTCCTGGTTTCGTGCGATGAATTTGGGCATGAAAACCTTAATCAGAAGAGGTAAAACAACAACCAGTAATGGTGATCGGCGCGTCGTTAAACACGCGTGTACCACGTGACAATTTTGTTGGGCTGCGTCTATTTTTATTTTACCAGGTAAGGTCGACTGAGCTGTCTAGCTATTTTTTGAGACGTGACCTGGCTATTGCTATCGAGAGCCCTACGAATTGGCTTATCACGTGGAAAGTTATAGCAGCCAGATACTCTAAATGCATGTTTCTAAATGTGGAGAGAAAAACCGGAGAAACCGGAGGACCCGGAGAAAAAATCCACGCGACAATGGGGAGAATACGCAACATTCCAAATATACAGGCATCAGAGTCGGGATCGAATCCACAACCACTTGTTGTATACTAGGCGAGGCAGTTAACTTTTAAAACAACGGCGCTATGCCTCTATAAATAAAATTCACGCCAACTGCTTGTGCATTCCGAGATTAAGTGGTGAACGGGACACCCACCCTGCAGACGTCTTGGAACGGGAAAGGGTTAACATTTCGTCAGGTAGGTTCAGGGCAGGGCGGCGGTGGGGAGGTGGTCTTTGAGCACTTATTTGGCCTGACCACGACGTGGCCTGACCCAAAAATCAAGTAACAATCAAAATATTATTATGATCACGCTGCTGTTGTTGTTGTCGCCTGCTGCCACTGCCTCTGACCGGCCGTCCCACGTGCTCCCACCCCCCGCGCAGGTGTACCGCTTCGAGGGCGGCCCGTCTCAGCCGGCCGCGGGCTCCGCCGCGCCCCTCGAGGCCCTGTGCCGCCTGCCGCTGTGCGCCCACGACCGCCAGCTGCTGCGCTTCTACGCCGAGCAGGGCGAGGCCCCGCTGCGGGCCCTGCGCTCGGCCGCCGAGTCCTTCGCCTCCCGGCTACGCGGCGGCGGCGGCGGCGGCGACGACGACCCGGCGGACGGGCCCGAGCCCGCGGCACTGACGCCGCGGCAGCTGCTCGCCCACGGCCGCGCCGTCGTCCTCGGGGGCCACCGGCTGGCCTTCCTGGCCGACGCGCTGGCGCGCGGAGCCCTTTCCGCCGAGCTCCGCGCCGCCACGGCGGCCCTGGCCGAGGCCGTGAGCGAGCGGCTTCGCGCCGTCGCGGCCTCCAGCAAGGCGGCCGCCCTGCGCTACCCGACGGCGGCGGGGGCCGGCGCGTGGGCGCTGCGGCGCGAGACGGAGGCCCGCGTGGGCGAGCTGCTGCAGCAGGCGCACGGCTTCCACGAGCTGCTCACGCGCCTCGCCGGCATGGCCACCGCCAGCGGACACTCGGGCCCCTAGGGCCGAGCGGAGGCCTCTGGGGCGACCCCCGCTTCCGGCGTGGAGACCCGGGGCGGGCCTACGCGAGGGTGGGGGGTTTGGGCGTGGAGGGGCCCGGGGTGACGTCTCGCACCGTGGACACCGGGGGCACGTGGGCCAGCGTGGCGACCAATGGCGGCCCTGCTCCTGAGGAGGAAGCTGGCGTGAAACGGGGCGTCAGGAAGAGGGGAGGCCCGAGGATGCCGTTGGCACAACACTCGTGTGTACAGTGGCCTCGCGTTGGTCACAGCAACAATGGGTGATTGCCTCACTAACCCCGAGGACGATGTTCTCACTGTGGAGTTTCCTGGCAGCATTCACTGATAACCACTGCTGTGCCAACTTCTGTTTGATAAAAACATTTTTTTAAAATAAATTTCCCCAAAATATGGATTAATACCATCTGCTGCTCCCCCTGCCGATTGGGTGACTGGGGATGGCGACTTCCGATCGACCGATCGACGCGCTCTTCCACAAAACCCCATGCCACGGTCATGCACAGGCCGCGTGCTACTTGCTCCCTCCCGGTCAAGGCCCTGCCGACGACGATTGGCCCCAAAATCCCCGCGCGCTTGCCGTGACCTCGGTTCTTACGGTTCCGCATGAACCGAGCGAAGCTCACGGACCCGGTCGCGTTTTTATGCAAGAGCGGTCGAGGACACGTGACACCTCTCTATTGCCTCCCTTGTCGATTAAAAACAACAGCAGTCCCTGGGCATCAGGGAGACCCCACATCTCCCTTCTCGGCGATGTCCCGGGAGAACCACTCTCGTCACTCGAGGCCATGGTTTTGGGCTCACGATTTGTACAATCTGCGTGCCCGTCTGTCCATCTTGTCTGTCTTCTTTGTATTGTTTGTTGTGGATTGTTTGCTGTGGAGAGTCCCACGCTCAGCATGCAGGTCTCCTCGCGGCCCTCGGCGCGGGTTGATGCCAAGTGACCGCCGAGTTTGAATCGCGAGAGGCCTGGCGGTTGTGGTTGGGCGGGTGGAGGCAGTGATTCGCGCGGGGCGTCGTGGGGGGGGGGGATGGTGGGGCCGGTGTCGCCTGTGAAGGGGGCTGACATTCGTCCTTCGCGACAGCTGTCGTGAGCGCGAGGCGCGGTGGACGAGGACCTTTTCCGTCGTCAGCGTCGCGACTGACATTTACACTCCGCGCGTCTCTCTCCATCACCCCCACTCCCCTCACGTCGCCACCGCTCCCACGCCCGGCTCTCCCCTCTCCCTTTCCGGAGTTTTTTTTGTGTGTAAAGTGGGTTTGGCCGCAGCGACAGACGCAGGAGGATGCGATTGTGTTTGGGTTTCGTGTTCCACCGACGATGTCCGTGCAAAGGGCGGTGGTGGGGGCCCACCGGCGAAAATGCCCCTGGGTGACTTCCCCTCCTCTGTCTAAAGCCCGAAACCTTCGACCCCCCCCATGTGGGGTAGCGGCTGCACGGGGGTAGGGAAGGGGGGTTGGGATGGCATCCGGATATCGGGGGCGTGCGCCGTACTTCACCTTTATCCGTCATCACGCCGGGGAGATAACGTCGCGTCGCCGCCACCACGCCGGAGGACCGGCGGGGTATCGCCGCGCCCGGGAAGGCGGCTTCTCAGGGTGACCCTCCACGTGCTCCCCCCGTGCCCCCTGCTGCTGCTGCTAGCGCCTCGTTGGCTCTGCCACGCGGCGCTTCCCCTTGCCGCCGCTCCGCCTCCGCCCCGGGGATGGGGGGGGGGGTCGAGAGTCCGGCGACTTTTTTTTTTTCAATCACTCGTCGACCACGACGAGGGGCTCCGACCGCCGGGCCGCCTCGCGTCGTCGGCGGTCGTTGTGGTTTGAGAGCGGAAGGACACACGAGAGAATAGCGGGATGGGGTGGGGGGCGGTGGGGGTGTTTCCCTAATGGCAGTTGACTCCTCATCCCCCCCCCACCCCCCCCGGTGATTAACGACGTGGGAAGTGGTCATCGTCCTCGCCAGGCCGAGGTCGATCCGCTGCTGGTTGAAGGCTCCTCCTCTCCCCCCCCTCACGCCCCCACCAGAAGGCCATCGCCATTTCTCTCGCGGCGCCCGCCAAGCTCCAACCTTCGAGCGTCGAGAGCGGTTTGGGGCCTCGCCCGTTGACGATGACGAACAGACGCCTCCGCGTGGTGGCTCGACACACGGCGGCAATGCGAACGCACCAACGACTGAAGAAGTTAATTAAAATTTAAGCGGTGGTGGGGGGGGGGGGTGGTGCAGCGGGTGGCGAAGTTAGCGGCAGGGTTAGAGTCCAGAGGGCTGGTTGGCTCGTTGGTTGTGTTTAGGTGTAGGGTTTAGCACACGGTTGTCTAGTGTACTACGAGTGCCTGGTTGGCTGGTTTATTCGGGTCACGGCTGGATGTAGCGCTCGTGTCTGGACGACAGCAGCATGCGGCCCTTTTCAAACGTTGGCTACTTTGAGGTTCCCCGCGTTGACCGTGCGCCGTGTGGCCCCGGCCCGCGTGTGCTGGCCGAGGGTCCTTTGGGCAGCTTGGAGAGGGGTGCTTGGGTGAGGTGGGTTGGTAGGGGTGGTGGGTGTCAGGGGCCCACGTGGCTGGGGTCATCCCGACCTCGTCCTGCTCCTGCTCCTCCCCCGCGCTCGCCCCTTCTCTCGGAATTGTCAGCAGCGTTTCCCTGGCGGTGCGGGAACTGCACGTGGGCCCCCCTCTGGGTTTTTTTTTTTGTCAACCCTCACGATGATATTCACGCTGCCAAATGAACAATTTAAAGATTTTTTTTAAAATTCTAAGATGTAAGAATGGCCCAAAAACACAAGTTTAATTTGTATTCGTTCTGCCGAAATCCAGGCTCCAAGACCCACCCCCCCCCCCCCCCCCAACTTCACGGTTCAGATTTGTTCCGATCGTCAAGTCGGCGGCGTGAAACCGTTAAGGGCTTCGTTTGTGCTTGAATGTACGTGATCGCTAAACCCCTTGGGGTCACGAGGACTGACCTGGGATAAGAAAGGGGCCCCGCTTTTAACATCGGTGTGTTCGTCGGGGAAACGAGGTCGGAAGGATGGAGCCGGAATGTCACGTGCTGAGGACCCCGAGGGTCCATCGATCTTGAGCGAGGGTGGTAAGGTGATCCTTGTGAGGGGGTCGATTCCAAATAATGAACTCGTACGGACCACTTGAGGCGCGGTGCAAGCGGCCGCGCGCGGCGAGCTCAGGGATGTGGGAGCGCACCTGCGCCGGTTAAAGCCCCGTTTGACAGTTGCAGGGAGCGCGTGTGTGTGTGTACGCGAGTGTGTGTGTGTGTGCTTGTGGGGAGCGGTGGTGCAGCGGTTAGCGTGCTGCGCTGCGCTACGAACCCGGCAACCCGAGTTCAATTCGCACTCACGGCCAACACCATCCGTGACGATTATGTGAAACCGGTCCTGGGCCTCCCCTAGGTCGACTCGGCCTCAATTGAGTACCTGGTGCGGTGCGTAAACATCGCCACTGGGGAGACGGAGACGGCCGGGCGTGGTGCTGGCCAGCCACCACCTCGCGTGCCGCGCCGGCCTTCATAGGTGCTCGCTAACAGCACTTCCCCCAGCAGTGTTAAGACTATACGGGGGATCTTTGTCTGTGTCTGCGTTTGGATTTCACTTCTGGCAGTCTAAGGTGGAAGTGGGCGTTATTTGATCAAAATCGATACTGTTGCTGCCGTTCTTGCAGCCGCAGTATCTTGTGGTGGCTGCTCTTTGATGTGTTTTTTTTGGGGGGGGGGAGGGAGGGACGTGGGGGGCGGATCGTATCCGCGCGTCGTTGGGGTGCGACGTCCGACGTTTCGCGCCACGTGCTGGAGAGAGGTTGTTGTGTTTCGTACTCGTGAGAGTTAGTGGAGACTTGCCACGTGGCGCCCGGGCCTATTCAGTTTGCGGTGTGTTGGAGAGAGAGAGAGAGAGAACGATGAGAGGTCCTGTACATACAGGTATAATTATTTCCATTATTCCACGAGATAAAACATTAATCGGGTGGAGAGGGGTATCTGCACCGCACCCCCTCTACTGTTAGATCACGCATTGCTATTTAGCGGTGGATCACGTGGCCTTGAATTAAAGTTGCTTTTGTAAACACTTCAGCCATGACCTTTGTACAATGGAGTTTTCATATGAAACGATAAAAATAAGTAGACCTTTTTAAACATACAGAAAATGTTACTAACTGGAAATGTGTTCTAATAAAGTTGTATGTTGACTCGTCCTCTGCGTTGTGCTGCCGATTTAATACGGGACGGAGATTGGCACCACCTGCAAAGGTAGCCAAATGAATGCTTCTTCTATTTCAATGTAACACGTGTCGGGGCTTTCGCGACCTATATGATGAGTAATAATTGATTTTTGGGTCAGATCCCGTAAGTCAAATTATGGCAAGTACCTGATGATGTTGGTTGTAGTTACCAGGGAGACGTCCGTACCCTATTTGTTAAATCAACTAAAACTGCTAAACGATTTTAATTTTAATAGGTAAGGTCCAATGAGCTATATAGCTCTTTTTCAGAAGCGATCTGGCCACAAATGATAGCTCAACGAAGTGGCTTATCACGTGGAAATTAAAGCAGCCAAATACTCTATAAAGCATTTTGATTATAAATGTGGAGGGAAAAACCGGAGGACCCGGAGAAAAATCCGCACCACCACGGGGAGAGAGAAACGCAAACTCCAAATATAGAGCAGGAGTCAGAGTCTGGATCGAACCCACGACCTGTATACCGGGCGAGGTAGTTAACATCTCACCACCGTGGCGCCCACGGTGGTGTGGTTCGCTTTCCAAACAGCACCACATAGGTGGTGCTGGGTGGTGCTGTTGTAGCAGTAATGCGTTGGCACGTTTATTCACGTGACAACGTCATTCATTGGCTGTGTCGGGTGGAGGAGGGTATATGACACATTTTACTTTCGCGTTCTGACCCAAAATCAATTGCGGACCATGAGCCTTCTATTTACCCAGGAAGGCCTCCCTCAGTCTCAAGACTCAATGTCAGGAGCATCCCGCCACATTAGGAAGTTTTGCCAGTTCCATGTAATGAGCGTTTGGCTTTTTGTGGCAATGCCACATTTCCATGGCGGGGTATAAACTTATTAAGTGCAGAATATGCTGTGCAGGATAAACCAACAACTGCAGAAACATCGGGCTCTTTTTGGCCATCACATCCCACCCCCTAAATACGAATGACGTACAGTACTTGATTTAACCAAGTGACGGGCATGTGGTAACAACGTTGACAATTCCTCGCAGAGGAGATCTGAGAGCAAAGCTCGTTGGTCATCGCTGTGGAGTCGCTGGGAAGTTTATTTAAAGTCTTACGTTTTTAAACTCGGACGCGAGCTATATTTAAAACTCGCTCATGCTCGGGCGCCGACAAACCGGGCGCTCTGCTGCAGCCGGGAAGGCGGGCAGTGTGCGAGGAACTGGGTCACAACAAACGCGGCTTAAAACATCACACAAACTCCGGTCATCCTCGCAGAAGCAGTGGCTTTTGGCTGGCCATTGAACAAAGACGGCCGCTGTATTCCGCGCTTTCGGATGCGCTTCTGCGGCCGTCTGGAACACTCTTCCTTCTGAGATATTCGGAAGCCACTGGAGCTATGCACTTTAAAATCTAGATTGAAAACTTGTTTTCTTTAGAATTGCTCTGTGTTTAGGTTGTTGCCCTTCCCCTGCACCTCCAAATAGCACGGTTGGCTGCGTACGGTGCGAAAGAAGTTCAGCATGCACACGTGGCACAGAATTCCCTTGGTGTTGTTTTTGTTATTTACCTGTTTTAAAACGGGTCCCTGCAGGGTGGGCTGGTAGGACTAGTCTCTGCGCTGTCTATTGCTGATTTTACACCCAACAGCACGAGATTTCACTTCGTTAAAGTATTGAAAGGGGACGGACGGACGGACACATTAATCTATTGCAGGCTGGTACACTCAGTTTACAACTTCGTTCCTACCAGTATAACTCACTGCCCTAAGGGGCCGTCCATAAATGACGTTACGCACCTAGGGAGGAGGTCAGACATTTGTGACGTGTGACGAGGGGGGGGGGGAGAAATGTGACGTCACATCAAAATGCGCAACTTTAAATAAATATAGACAACACGTTCTACTTAATTAGACTTTTTTCATGTTTTCTCCTACAACATCAGAGTGCAGCGCCACATTAAATACACACTACAATGACAATAGTAATAGGTTTTACCCTTTTAACTGGCACAAAAACTGACACCTTTATTCAAGGCATCATGTTTGCAATAACCACAACACAAGCAGTCAAAATGCAAACAAAAGAGACAACTCTGATAATGATATGCACTGTCCTTTAATTTGATTGGTCCACACCCGAGACGGCTTTTCTTAGAGCCTAATCTCCACTGGTGTTGGACCAGAAGACGCCAAAAGGCGTACAACTCAAAAACAGCGCACTATCAGAGTATTGAGGGCTCGGGGTGAGCATTTACAGGCTCTAAGAAAAGCCGTCTCGGTGGGGACCAATCAAATTCAAGGACAGTGCATATTATTATCAGAGTTGTCTCTTTTGTTTGCATTTTGACTGCTTGTGTTGTGGTTATTGCAAACATGATGCCTTGAATAAAGGTGTCAGTTTTTGTGCCAGTTAAAAGGGTAAAACCTATTACTATATCTTGTTGCTGGCAAAGGAGGTCTCATAATACAATGATAATAGTTTAAAGCGATTTGAAGCATGTTTTATACGTACTTTTTTTTGGGGGGGGGGCAGAGCTTTGTGACGTCATATTTGAGGGGGATCTGACTTTTTGTGACGCCGTGTGACGAGGGGGGAGGGGTTAAAAATCGTTCAAAATCGCGTGACGTCATTTATGGACGGCTCCTAACTACTGCAGTGGTCCAGCAGTTGCTTCCAATGGTCGAGGTCTTATCTAAGGGTCAGCTGCAGAGGTTTTGTCTCGACACGCAGCCTTTGAGGAAGTGGCAGGAAACTATTAACCAAGATAAGTATTATTTAATTTATTATAAGGCCTGCTATTGCCGCTACACAAGCTCATTGAGTAAACCGTTCTCAAAATGTAGACTCACTCGAGCCTGCGTGACAGTCCAATGTGTCTGGGCCTCATTTGCTGGGATCTCCCAATCGGTTTCTTGGGTTTCCCCCAACGTTTTTCAGAGTCGGGTCTCTGATTTGATCCCACTCGAGCTGTCTGTCACTCAAATCCACTCGCCACCAGCCCAAAGATGCCAAGTCTCTCTGGAAAAGAAAAGTGGCACTGCCTTTAAAAACACAAGGCCAAGTCCATGTCCGGAGGAAGGGGCGGGGTCTAAAGAAAAAGGGGCGGGGTCTAAAGAAAAAGGGGCAGGGCCTAAAGAGGAAGAGGCAGGGTCTAAAGAGGAAGGGGCAGGGTCTAAATAAAAAGGGGCGGGGTCCAAAGAGGAAGGGGCGGGGTCCAAAGAGGAAGCACAGATAAAGAGACCTCGAATTAAAACGAGGTGAAAAAAAACCTCACAAACCGGCAACTCTCAGAAATGTATTCCGCCTATGATGACACAGGCCAGTAGTTAAACTATAATCAACCAGGAGAGACACAAGTGTGAGATGGAGAGGCCAGGGCAGGAAAAGGGAACCCATGTGTAGTGATGTAAAATGAATCACTGCGGTGTGTAGTGCTGAGTGCAGTATAACAAGGAAATATGGGGACAGATAGCACAACGTGCAGTACCCTAGTGGGTCACTGGGGGCGTGGTACCGGGTGCTAGCAGAAAGAGGCAAAGGAGCACTACCCGACAGAATAGGGAATAGCAGCCACTCCGTCAGCGCAGTGAGTAATTGCCGCATAATTGTTCACGAGGGAAGGTGGTGAGGGCTGCTAGTGGAGGGGGGATGTTAGGACGATTCACCGCGGCTCCGGGTGAAGCGCGTGATGGGCCGGGGTGAGGGGTGGGGGGAGCAGGTGACCGAGGGGACAACGGCTAGTGTAGCCGAGAAGCTTCTGGAGAGCCCCAGAGGGGGGCGTGGCTCAGGGCAGGGCCGGGCAGGAAGCACGTGAGAGGTTGTCGGGAACCTTCGGGAACGTTCGAGGAGGGGGGCGCGGCCGAGGGTGGAGCCAGGTCGCATATCGGGGCTGTCCGTGGGTGAAGTGGAACCGAGGTGCTCCGTCTTCGACATCGTGGGTGAGACAGCACGTGACTGCTCTGACCCGACTGTAGTTATCCCGTACAGGCAAGAGATCGGAGTGTTATAGACCCGTGGGTAACGAGAGTGAGAGGCAGGCGTATTAGTCCCGTGTATAACGGTGCCGTGTAAAGTGTAGAATAAACGTTGTTGCCTCCCAATAGTGTCTCTGAAATGATTCGCTGCACATGTAGTCCTGGTCTCCGGCCAAACTTGAGCAATGGGTGTCATCCTCGATACATACATCATTAGCTCTCAAGCCACAACAGCGTCAAGTTCTCAATACCAATACAATTACAACCAGGCTTGAGCGGAGCCGTGAGACGAGGGGTCATGGGTGGAAGCTGGCGACCTCCGTTGGTTTCCCGGTCCCCTGACCGAACGTGCACCCAAGCTTGCACGGTACCTCGCTAGGCCTACTTGGGAACCACCACCACCAATGTGAACACATTTAAGACCGTGGAATGGGCGTGGGGGCCGAGGAGGGATCCCGTAGGTAGTCCTCCCCGTCCTAACCTCGGTGTCCACCCCTACTCAGGACCTCGCTGGATTCTCGACCAGGACACATCACAGTCGCCACCACCACCAAGCGCCACCGTGGCCAGATTTTCACTACCTCGCCTGGTGTATAAGAGATTGTGACGTTCAATCCGGACCCTGACGCCTGTATATTTGGAGTGTGTCTCTCTCCCTGTGGTCGTGTTAAGTTTTATCCGGGTCCTCCCGGTCTTCCGCCCACAATTTAGAATCAAGGCCACGCGTTTCGAGTATTTGGCTGCTATAAATGTGCACACGATGGTAAGCCACTTCGTTGAGCTATCACTTGTGGCCAGGCCGCTTCTGAAAAATAGCTACATAGCTCAGTGGGCCTTACCTGGTAAAATTAAAAGTCAATGAAATAAAACAATAGGGAACACACGTTTGTTTAAGATTCCTGCTAGCCTCAAAAATACACAAATTGAAGTCGGCCTTCGTCAACTCCACACAGGCAGGCGTGAGCCGTCTGTGGAACTACACGTGTGTGGGGGGGGGGCGTGTGGGGGGGGGCGTGTGGGGGGGGCGTGTGTGGGGGGGCGTGTGTGTGGGGGGGGCGTGTGGGGGGGGGCGTGTGTGGGGGGGGGCGTGTGTGGGGGGCGTGTGTGTGGGGGGGGGAGTGTGCGGGGGAGGGGCGTGTGTGGGGGGGCGTGTGTGTGGGGGAGCGTGTGTGTGGGGGGGGCGTGTGTGGGGGGGGGCGTGTGTGGGGGGGTGTGTGTGTGTGGGGGGGGCGTGTGTGTGTGGGGGGGGCGTGTGTGTGGGGGGGGGGCGTGTGTGGGGGAGGGGCGTGTGTGGGGGGGCGTGTGTGGGGGGGGCGTGTGGGGGGGTGTGTGGGGGGGGCGTGTGTGGGGGGGGGCGTGTGTGGGGGGGGCGTGTGGGGGGGGGCGTGTGTGTGGGGGTGTGTGTGGGGGGGCGTGTGTGGGGGGGGCGTGTGGGGGGGTGTGTGGGGGGGGGGCGTGTGTGTGGGGGGTGTGTGGGGGGGCGTGTGTGGGGGGGGGCGTGTGTGGGGGGCGTGTGTGGGGGGGGCGTGTGGGGGGAGGGGGCGTGTGTGGAGGGGGGGGCGTGTGTGGGGGGGGGGGTGTGTGAAGAGCTTTATAGCTAATTGGATTTCTCCAGCGAAATAAACATTGTGATGTCCACGAGGGCCGACACGGTGGGCACCCAGGTGGAGAGGCGAGGCCGAGCCACGTGGCCGTGTAGCGAGGGAGGGGTGGTGCTGGTGCCCCCCCCCCACCCCGGGTGTGTGTGTGTGTGTGGGTGAGGAAGAGCTTTATAGCTCATCGGATTTCTCGAGTATATTCACTATTCTGATTCCCACGAGAGCCGGCACGTTGACAGCGCGCGAGTGAGACGGTGGGCCCGGGGAGGAGAGGCGAGGTCGAGACACGTGGCCGGGAAGCGAGCGAGGTTGTGCTGCTGCTGCGGCGTGCTGGTACTGGTGGTGATCGCGACTCAAAACCTCGGCAGCGGCCGGCCTTGCTGAGGAACGTCGTCGTGAGGGCCGACTTAGACACCAAGGCGTGAGGGAGAGAGAAGCAGCTCCGTCGTCAGAGGGGGGTCCCCGGGTCTTCTTGTGCCCCCCCCCCCCCCCAGATGGCCGCTCGCCCAGGCGAGGCCTCTGTGCTGCTCGGGCTCTTGGACGGGCCCGTGCCGCCTCGCTCGGCCACCTCATGGAGCTGCAACAAGATTGGCGGCGAGCCGGTGAGGGAGCGTTTGTAATCGTCGCCTTTGTGAATGTTTAATTTAATGTCCTGTGTATTTAGTTATTTTATTTTTTTATCGCGAGTAGAGACGACTGAGAGTGTGAGAGACGGGCATGCGGTAAGGGGGGTCGAGTTGTAGGCCGCGAGGCTCTTGCGTTGCCACGGGGAAACGCGCTCGTCGTGCGGGCCTCGCGGTTGGTCCACTGCTGCAGGACCTCAGGAGTTTAGTTAAAATGTTCGTGTTGTTAAATGTACAATTCAAATAGGATCGATTATAAAATATGATGCCGCAGGCGCGAGAGTTAAGTTGGCCTTTGAGGAATGTGGATGCGGCTCGGGGCCAGTGGCGCAATGGATAACGCGTCTGACTACGGATCAGAAGATTGTAGGTTCGACTCCTGCCTGGCTCGGTATTATTTTTACATGTTTTTTTTTTAAATGTGTGTTTAAAAAATATATATTTTAAAAGCATCGTCGTTATTAACATTTATTACGCAGCATCATAGTACGACGTCATTGCGTGAAAATGCGCCCCGCGATTTATTCCGTTACCGCTTGCATGAAGTTTAAAGTTTGGGTTCACGATGTGTCGAGTCGCACGCGGCGGCCCGCAGCGCGCCCTGCTGGCCCTGGGGTCGAATTGCAAAGAACGGAGCGCCTGGGAAGTTGACGATTTTAAAACCGTGATTTTGGTGTTGCTGCTGCTCCTGCTTCGTTGGCAGTGATGCACAAACACCACCACCAACAACACCAACAACAACAACAACAAAAAGCAACACGTCGGTCAATAAAACTTCTAATTTCGTACGGCTGCTGATGTGGATGCAGGGCAACAACTTACAATTTATATGAATAGGTTTTACCCTTTTAACTGGCACAAAAACTGACACCTTTATTCAAGGCATCATGTTTGCAATAACCACAACACAAGCAGTCAAAATGCAAACAAAAAAGACAACTCTGATAATAATATGCACTGTCCTTGAATTTGATTGGTCCACACCCGAGACAGCTTTTCTTAGAGCCTAGTCTCCATTGGTGTTGGACCAGAAGACGCCAAAAGGCATACAACTCAATGGTTAGCCAAAAGCCGCTGCAAGGATGGCCGGAGTTCGCATGATGGTTTATGCTCCTTAACTAGACCTGCAAGGTATTGATTGTGGTTCATCTGTGGCAGGCACTTTGTGTGTAAAGAGTGCCACCTTTGATACAATTCCGGACCCCTCGCCCCGGTTGCTCGCTCTGCAGGACTGCGTGCCCGGCGTGCCGCTGGTGGGACGCACGGCCTGCGGGGCATGCGGCTCTGCACAGACACTGGTGGCGCAGCTGTACTGCCCGTTGGAGGGCTCGCCGTACCACCGCGCCCTGCACCTCCTCGCGTGCCCACGCGCCACGTGCTCCACATCGGCTCGAGGGTGAGGCTGCCCGCTGCTCGGGTCCCGCGTCGGTTGCGCGGACGTCAAAGGTGCCCGGCAGCCTGTCTTGGACTGTGACTCCCCACCGGCGACGACAATGTGGATTTATATTCTTAGTTTTTTCGGTAAAGTCACGTTGAAGAGAAACAACAAAATAACAAAATATATATAAAACAATAAAAAAATTCTCACGACGTTTCGACCATAACTCAAACGAAACGTCGTGAGAATTTTTTTATTGTTTTATATATATTTTGTTATTTTGTTGTTTCTCTTCAACGTGACTTTACCGAAAAAACTAAGAATATGAATTACTGCAGTCACGAAAGCTTTAAATCAAAATTTAATGTGGATTTAGTTTTGTGATGTCGAAACAAATTATTTGGTGATGCTGTTGCGTCTGCGTTGGATCACCAGCGCAAATAGCACATTCGTCGGTTGCTCCGCGGTGCTGCGCTGTAGAGATGTTAACTCCCATCGCCTGGTATGCAGGAGGTCATGGGTTCCATCCCGACCCTGACGCCTGCTGCTGTATATTTGGAGTTTGCGTATTCTCCCCTGTGGTGCCGTGGATTTTTCTCCGGGTCCTCCGTTTTTTTTTCCTCAACATCTAGAATTGGCATGCGTTTTGAGTGTTTGGCCGCTGTAAATTTCCAAGCGATAAGCCATTTCATTGAGCTAATCATTGGTGGCCAGGTTGCTACTGAAAAATAGCTACGTAGCTCAGTGGGCCTTACCTCGTAAAATAAAAATTGATTATAGTTTTAGTAGTCTTAAAAGGCATACAATATATAACAGGTGACGTTCGGGGCAATGGTCCTTCACCGTTCAGGGTGTGCCGTGTAGAAGGGCCGTAGCCCCATGTAAGGCTACAAGGGGATTCTTTGTGTCTCTTTGTGTGTCCGTGTCTCGTTGTGTGTCCGTGTCTCGTTGTGTGTCCGTGCCTCTGTTCTGTTTGCAGCTGGCGAGCGTTACGTTCTCAGTACTTGGAGCCTGCGCGCGCGGTGCCTGCCCCTGCGCCCACACCCCCACAGGTGAGACGCGCGTGCTGAACTCATTTAATTTGTTACGTTCCTGAGGCAAGCTGGCCTTGATAAACTCATTTCATGTCGACGGGTCGTTTTCCTGCAACATTACCGCACTCGGCGCTGCTAACCCTCTTCCTTTCAAGCCACGATATTGTCACGTCAGACTCCTCAAGACTCTGTGAGCCCCAGGGAATAACGTTGAACACTCAGAATCTCAAAGGGGGTTTAGCGTGGCTTTGTGAGTTTCTCGCAATAAAAGTGAACCAGAAGAATCTTAAATGTATCTTTAACATTATCTTCTGCTGACGCTCCTTGCTTATTGCCTGGCTGCTGATGAGGCAGTGTGTGCCAAAACCAGTCCAGAGTTTGCTTGTCTTGAAACGCTACTGTAATTGTGTACTCTCAGAAGGCTGTGCGGCTGGTGTGTGGTGTAGGAAATACTTTTAAAAAAATGTACATGGAAAGACGTGCATACGAATGGGACGTTGCCTATTTTTTTAATTCATTTTCTTGACAATGACGCTGATGAACATTTTGAGTTGTGCATTATTGCGACATTTGCCTTGTGTTTATATGTTGTATATGTGCAGTGGCTGCTCATGTCTACATCCTCGTGTATTTGTTGGTGGAGCAGTGACGCAGTGTTAGTGTACTATGCTGTGAGTATATCCGGCTGAGTTTGATTCCCAACTTCGGAGAACATCAGTGGCGAGTAATATCTGAACCGGTCCTGGTCCACCTCTCGCCCCTCCCCGCCCCCCCACTCCGACCCACACTGAACAACCGTGTTGAAGTATGGTCAAGCATCCCCCATGATCTGACGCGGTGTGTGGAGGCGGTCACCCAGCAGCGGGTTGCGAAAGCGGGGCACATTGCACTACGCACGCGTACACCGTCAGCGTCGGTCTTGGCGCACGCTCCGGTCTAAGCGCCGCACGCGCAACCGTTCCACAGGTGGAGCCTCTGATGTCCACCAAGGACTGGTGCGATGGGGCGGACGACTGGGGCGATGACGTCGATGGGGACGCAGGGGACGCGCCCGCGCAAGCCGTCCCTCTGCCGGACTCCACGGCTCGCGTCCCCCAGCTCCCCCCCCACCCATCGCCGTCACCGAACCCCGCCATGGAGCTGTGCCCCGGTATGGACGGGCTGTCGCTGGGCGGCGGGCGCGCAATAGCGGCGGCGGCGGCGGCATCGGCGGCAATGCCGAGACCGCAGGAAAGCGGCGAGCCAGCGCCTCGGCTGCTGGCGTACTTCCTGAACGCGGTGAGCGAGGAGGACTGCGCGGAGGAGGAGGGGGTGGAGGAGGCCGAGCTAACGCAGCACGCTCGCGCGCTGCTCTCCGAGTACCAGCGCCGGGAGGGCGGCGCCGATGGGCTGGTGGCGGCTCAGCAGCAGCCGTGGCAAGGGTGAGTGGATCTCCGAAGCGTCGTCGGGTGTGACACGCCGCTGACTGTGGTTCACGGCGGTGAGAGAGTGGTTGGCGTCCATCCGCCCCGGTGATTACCGCGTCGATCTCCGATGCCGGGAAGCACTTGTTGATGCTCACGCGGTGAGTGTGTGAATGAGTGTTTTGCGAGCGTTGCAGGCGATCGTCGGTGCTGAGCCTGCGGACAGTGGCGGTAATACACATCCGAAGGCCTGTGTTCAACTGCTGGCCGTGTGCGATTGGCTCCGCTCGCGATTCGATTAATGGTCTCACGATTCGGAGTCGTGATTCAGAGCAACGATCAATTCCATACTTCAGAATCTTTATTTAGGCTGGAGGAATCTGATGAGCTATGAAGCTATTTTTCACAGATGTCCTGTATGGTCGGATCACGAAGTTACAACGGCAATCAGAAAGTTGCATTATGGCGATTGTAGCGCATCTTAAGTGAATGCAGGTGTCCCTGGAATCTTTCTGACATACCACATTTAGGAATAAAAACAATAATCGACTCTCACATGCGTGATTGGAATCTAAACGCAATATGCGCACCACACACAAAGATAAAGATCGCCCCCCCCCCCCAGTGTGGCCTACATAGGCTGTTGTGGAGCGTAGTCCTGGTGAGCACCACATGCACACGGACAAAGATCCCCCGTATAGCCTTAACAGACTATTGGGGTAATTGCTGTTAGCGAGCACCAATGAAGTGAGTGGCCAGCACCACGCCTGGCCGCTTCTGTCTCGCCAGTGGCGATGTTCAGACATTTGAGGCTGAGTCGACCTTAGGGGAGGCCCAGAATCTATTCAGAAAATCGTCACCGGTGTTGTTCGTGAGCGAGGAACCGAACTCGGGTCGCCGGGTTTCGTAGCGCAAGCGCGCTTACCGCTACACCGCTGCTCCCCCCGCGGATACGCACATGGGGACGCGTGTCGTTTTCACCTCACCACGGGAAAAAATTCACCTCGCACCCAGCAGTGACAGCGGTGGTGGCAGCGGCGGGGTTGGCGGAGCGCGGGAGGAGTACGAGCCGGCGTGCGCACGCCACGGCGACCGGCTCTTCCTCAAATTCATGAAGCGGACGGCGCGGTGCCCTCGCCAGGTGCTGAGGTGAGCGGCCGCCACGGTGACGGGGTCAGCGGGGGGCCTGGTGGGAAGGGGGGCGAGGGGTGGAAGGGGGGGGGGGGTCAGCCACAAGACCACATGTCGCCAGGAACAATTCTAAATAACGTTGCGTTCTTGTTGTTGTTGTTGCCTCGAACCGAATCATCCGGAATGCGTTCAATTTTGCCGGCGGTCTCGAGAGCTACAGTGAGGGAAAAAAGTATTTGATCCCCTGCTGATTTTGTACGTTTGCCCACTGACAAAGAAATGATCAGTCTATAATTTTAATGGTAGGTTTATTTGAACAGTGAGAGACAGAATAACAACAAACAAAATCCAGAAAAACGCATGTCAAAAATGTTATAAATTGATTTGCATTTTAATGAGGGAAATAAGTATTTGACCCCTCTGCAAAACATGACTTAGTACTTGGTGGCAAAACCCTTGTTGGCAATCACAGAGGTCAGACGTTTCTTGTAGTTGGCCACCAGGTTTGCACACATCTCAGGAGGGATTTTGTCCCACTCCTCTTTGCAGATCTTCTCCAAGTCATTAAAGTTTCGAGGCTGACGTTTCGCAACTCGAACCTTCAGCTCCCTCCACAGATTTTATATGGGATTAAGGTCTGGAGACTGGCTAGGCCACTCCAGGACCTTAATGTACTTCTTCTTGAGCCACTCCTTTGTTGCCTTGGCCGTGTGTTTTGGGTCATTGTCATGCTGGAATACCCATCCACGACCCATTTTCAATGCCCTGGCTGAGGGAAGGAGGTTCTCACCCAAGATTTGATGGTACATGGCTCCGTCCATCGTCCCTTTGATGTGGTAAAGTTGTCCTGTCCCCTTAGCAGAAAAACACCCCCAAAGCATAATGTTTCCGCTTCCATGTTTGACGGTGGGGATGGTGTTCTTGGGATCATAGGCAGCATTCCTCCTCCTCCAAACACGGCGAGTTGACTTGATGCCAAAGAGCTCCATTTTGGTCTCATCTGACCATAACACTTTCACCCAGTTGTCCTCTGAATCATTCAGATGTTTATTGGCAAACTTCAGACGGGCATGTATATGTGCTTTCTTGAGCAGGGGGACCTTGCGGGCACTGCAGGATTTCAGTCCTTCACGGCGTAGTGTGTTACCAATTGTTTTCTTGGTGACTATGGTCCCAGCTGCCTTGAGATCATTGACAAGATCCTCCCGTGTAGTTCTGGGCTGATCCCTCACCGTTCTCATGATCATTGCAACTCCACGAGGTGAGATCTTGTATGGAGCCCCAGGCTGAGGGAGATTGACAGTTCTTTTGTGTTTCTTCTATTTGCGAATAATCACACCAACTGTTGTCACCTTTTCACCAAGCTACTTGGCAATAGTCTTGTAGCCCATTCCAGCCTTGTGTTGGTCTACAATCTTGTCCCTGACATCCTTGGAGAGCTCTTTAGTCTTGGCCATGGTGGAGAGTTTGGAATCTGATTGATTGCTTGCTTCTGTGGACAGGTGTCTTTTATACAGGTAACGAGCTGAGATTAGGAGCACACTCTTAAAGGGAGTGGTACTAATCTCAGCTTGTTACCTGTATAAAAGACACCTGGGAGCCAGAAATCTTTCTGATTGAGAGGGGGTCAAATACTTATTTCCCTCATTAAAATGCAAATCAATTTATAACATTTCTTACATGCGTTTTTCTGGATTTTTGTTGTTATTCTGTCTCTCACTGTTCAAATAAACCTACCATTAAAATTATAGACTGATCATTTCTTTGTCAGTGGGCAAACGTACAAAATCAGCAGGGGATCAAATACTTTTTTCCCTCACTTTAAGCACCTCCGATTAGCACGGGTGGCTACGTACGGTTCAAAAGAAGTTCAACATACAAACATAGACTCGTACAAAAACCCATAGACTCGCACAGAGACCCATGGACTCACACAGAGACCCATGGACTCACACAGAGACCCATAGACTCACACAGAGACCCATAGACTCACACAGAGACCCATAGACTCACACAGAGACCCATAGACTCACACAGAGACCCATAGACTCACACAGAGACTCATAGACTCACACAGAGACCCATAGACTCATCACACTTAAACCAACAGTTTGTTGTCCTTCCCCCGCACCTCCGATTAGCACGGTTGATTACGTACGGTTCAAAAGAAGTTCAACTTACGTACATGCAGGGGGTGATCCCGGTTTGTTATTGGGTCGGAAACTGCCTGGGAGTAGCAGGGGTTCTAGCCTTGGGGCTGCGAGGTGGCAAGCAGACGGCAGCGTGGGTTTATGCGAGCGAGCGACGAGTCGTGCGAGTCACGTGTGTCTTCCTCTGCCGCCCGCCCCCACCCACCACTCCCCACCCCCGACGTGCGCAGGTATTCGTGGGGGGGAGAGCCCCTGTACGTGAGCGCCCCCGACCCCCACCTGACCGCGCCCCCAACGCCGTGCCCGCTCTGCGGTGCCCCCCGCGTCTTCGAGATGCAGCTGATGCCCGCGCTCGTGTGGCAGCTAAGGGGGGCCGAGGGGACAGGTGAGGGTGGCAGTGGTTGGGGGGGGGGGTTGACGGGGCGCGGCCTGTGTGGACACAATGATGTTTACCACGGCTGGGGATGGAACCCGGGTCGTCATTGGGTCTGTAGGGCCGTGCACGAATCACTCTCCACGTTCACATCTCTCGGCAGCCATTCCCTACCTACGACGTCCATTGTAACCATGCAGCCCCGATAATTGCATCTGTCACTCATGGTCTCTGCATTGGGATTTTATTTCTGCTTTCTGTCTCATTTGTGTTCAGTCAGCTTATTTCCATCGCTCTCTGACATACTTGTGAACAACAAGAACCGCCTTTTGCCGCAAAGTGGCGGTGATGTGACCATGGGGCTTGTGCCAGGCTATGTACACTTTGAGGCCGCGTTGACAGGAGGTCATCGGACAGGCCCAGATGCCATGGGTTGACTGACCGAGATCATTGGCAGATGCACCACCAGCTCCCCACTGTCCCAACTTACGTTTTATCTGTCTGGCGCTCCGCTCGTTGTTGTGAGCGTCTCTCCTCCACCCTCTGTTGGTGGAGGGCGACTGCCTGTAACTGCCCAGGAGCGTCCTTCACGAGCTTTCTCCACAGAGGCCGATCTTGACACCACTGGTACCGGCCATCGGCAAGTCCACTCACTTCTAGCCCCTGCCGTGCCTGTTTAGCCCCTTCTATCTGGCCAAACAGAAGCTGCTTGGGCATGCGGTGGCTGGGCATGCAGGCACACACACACAAAAACAAAGATCCCCCGTATAGCCTTAACAAACTGTTGGGGCAAGTGCTGTTAGCGAGCACTTATGAATGCCGGCACGGCACACAAGGAGGTGGGTGGCCAGCACCACGTCCGGCCACCTTTCTCTGCCTAATGGCCATGTTTACACACACCACACCAGGTACTCATTTGAGGCTGAGTCGACCTAGGGGAGGCCAAGAAACGATTCAGATATTCGTAATTTGGTCTTGGCCGTGACCAGGAACCGAACCCCTTATCGCCGGGTTCGTAGCGCAGAGCGCTAACCGCTACACCACCGCTCCACACACCGACACACACGCGCACACCGGTGCTGAAACTCGGCCATCACTCCCCCTGCGTTGCCTCGCAGACTCCGTCCCGGAGTTCGGCTCCGTGCTCGTCTTCACGTGCGCACGCAGCTGCTGGGCCGAGGCCGGTGGGGGCGTCCCCTGTGAGGAGGAGGTGCGGTTTCAGCCGGACCCGGACCAAAGACTCTTTCAGTGACACCGCCACGGCCGCCGGGGGCACGACGAGAGCAACGTCGGGGCAACGACGTTGCCAGCAGCAGCCGCGATTTCCACGAGCGACATTGGAAACGTAGTCGCCGCTGCGTTGCCTCCTCCTCCGCCACCACCACCACTACTGCTGTGAGCCACTGTGGAAGCTTTCGTCGTCAGCCCTGCACTGGACCAGCGTGGTGAAGCGTCGTCAATTCCCGCGACCCCGTGCGGTGTGGACAGGCCTGCACCCAGCAGGGTCGTCGCTGCGACGTGATGCGGCGGTGGCCTCGCGTGATGGGGCTCTGCGTTGCGAACGAGCCGCGATTGGTCTGTGGAGCACATGGCCTCGGGCAGTCACGTGACCCCCGACTCTTTCTCTGGATATCGGTCTGTGTCCATGCATTTCTAAATAAAACATTTAACTCGTTCATGTTATCTGCTTGAGTCGAACTTTGTCCTCTATGTTAACCTGAAAAAAAATGTTCGTTTACCTGGCCGGGTACAGATTATCACCAACTCTGTTGGGCTTTGCTTTGTTTCTTCTCACACAGCTTAAAGGTCGTGATCTCAGCGTGGCTTTCTCACTCCAGCGCTGTCCTCCAGACAGTCTCGTCCCCTTCACCTGATGAAGGCCGCTTGTGTTGTGGCCGAAACGTCGTGAGAATATTATTGTGTTATTTTATTTTATCAATTTATTATTTTATTCTAATTCTACGTGACTTTACCGAAAGAACCAAAGAAGATCATCGTCATCATCACCATCAGGCTTGTTCTACCCACTGCTGGATGAATGCCTCCGCACTCCCTAACCATCCCGCGATGCCATGGTCCATCTCGCTCCCTCCGCGTGAGCTGATCCTTTGCTCCATCTCCGTGATGGCGGTCGTGCCAAGCAACCTCCCTGCCACGCTGCGGGCACGTTCCCCACACCCGTCGCCAGCCTAAAATAAATAAAAAAAACTTTTTTATGTTACCAGATAAGGCCCACTGAGCGACCTGGCCATAAATGATAGCTCAACGAAGTAGCCTATGTGGAAATTTACAGCAGCCAAATACTCTAAACGCATGTTTCTAAATGTGAAGGAAAGAGCTGGAGGACTGGGGAAAAAATCCATGCGACCACGAGGAGAGAGACACGCAAACTCCAAATATTCAGGCGTCGGGATCGGGATCGAACCAACGACCTCCTGTATACTGCCCACGGCGGGTGCTGCCTACAACCCGCGTCCCTACCCTAGACGGTCAGAGTGAAATGGGTCAATGCGAACCTGGATGTGAAGGAAAATATAAACACTGAACTGCGTGAACGCGGTGTGAAAAAAAAACTGCAGCAGCAGTGTGTGGGCCAAGTAGTCTTGTTTCCGCATTCTTCAATCTCGTGGCAATTCTCAACGATCGCGGTCGGGGTGGTGCGTGCGTCCATCACGGCTCGTCCGCCCTCATTCTCTCGTCTCCCTTCTGCTGGAGAACACGGGGCAAGAAACATCAGCGGCAGGAGCAGCGGTATTGTAATCGTTAACAACAGCAGTGTCAAACATCAGTAGCAGCAGCGCCGCCTTTATCATCAACAGCAATGATAGCAACAGCATCGATATTCGTAGCAGAAACTACTGCTGGCAGCAGCAGCAGCAACTAAATGATCATCATGAGCATTAACAGCATGATTGTCAGCAGCAACAGCGGCATGATCAACACCATGTTCCAAACGGCCAGGGGATTAAACCAGCGGTGGAGTGAAGGAGGGAGGAGGTCGCGAGGGGAAGGACTTGTGGGGAAGAAAGCGAGCAGCGCTGTGTTCTTGAGAGGAGGAAGACCTGAATGGAGGATGTGAAGCATGGGGAAGGAGCTGGGGGGGGGGGGAAGCAAGGGGTCGAGAGCGGGAATGGAAGAGCAGGAGAGAAGCTTCCATGTAGCGGCGGAGGAGTGGAGGAGGAGGAGTTTGAGAGGAGCTGGATATGCGCGTGCGGGACTGAGAGGAGGAGGAGGAGGAGTATGTATGGATGTTGAACTTTCGCACCGTACGTGGCCGACCGTGCTGATCGGAGGTGCGGGCAGGAGGGCAGAAACAATTGGGATGGATTGCGGCGGGAGGAACTGACGAGGATTGGTGGAGATGCCGCAGGGGAGCCAGGGGGCTTTCCGTTCACCTGCTCCTCCTGCCCAGGTGAGATGGGCGAGATTGGTGAGCCGGGTGTGATTGGTGAGCCGGGTGTGATTGGTGAGCCGGGTGTGATTGGTGAACTGGGTGTAACTGGTGAGCCGGGTGTGATTGGTGAACCGGGTGTGATTGGTGAACCGGGTGTGATTGGTGAGCCGGGTGTGATTGGTGAGCCGGGTCTGATTGGTGAGCCGGGTGTGATTGGTGAGCCGGGTGTGATTGGTGAACCGGGTGTGATTGGTGAGCCGGGTGTGATTGGTGAACCGGGTGTGATTGGTGAACCGGGTGTAACTGGTGAGCCGGGTGTGATTGGTGAGCCGGGTGTAACTGGTGTGACTGGTGAACTGGGTGTAACTGGTGAGCCGGGTGTGATTGGTGAGCCGGGTGTGATTGGTGAGCCGGGTGTAACTGGTGAGCCGGGTGTGATTGGTGAACAAGGTGTGATTGGTGAGCCGGGTGTGATTGGTGAACCAGGTGTGATTGGTGAGCCGGGCGTGATTGGTGAGCCGGGTGTGATTGGTGAGCCGGGTGTGATTGGTGAGCCGGGTGTGATTGGTGAGCCGGGTGTGATTGGTGAACTGGGTGTAACTGGTGAGCCGGGTGTGATTGGTGAGCCGGGTGTGACTGGTGGCCCCGGGCGAGTGTGAGGAACGGGCCCTGTGACCCCGTGGCCACGTGGCCCCACAGGTGGCGCGCGTTGCGTGACGGACGGACCGACTACTTGCTCGTCTTATCTTCCTGAGTGCGAGACATAAAACGAGCGAGGAGCACGGCCGTCCGCCACCTGGAACCCCCCAATCCTCTCGCCCTCCCCCCCGCATCAGGCCACCTCAGTCTCTCAAGGAAGACCACTCCAGCTCGCAATGCGCAGGGTTTGGCCGGCAGGTGGCGTGAGACGTGCGGGGTTGAGGGCTCGGGGGGGAGAGACTGAGGGCGGTTGGGAGGAAGGAGGTAGGGAAATGTCGAATATTTCGAGGTTGTTTTGTGTAACCGGGTGGGAACGCAAGATTGCAGGTGTGCTCTCAGCCCGGGGTCACGCGGAGCCCTGGGGGTACGTGAGGTCGATGGATGAATGTGTGAAATTGTATCGTAACCTGAGAGTCATTGGCGAATAATCGCGTGCGAATGTGCCAAATATAAAATAACTACGATAACAGTTAAATCCACGTGGTAGCCTAGAACGATTTGAGCGATCTTCATAAACTCACTGACCGTCAACAATGTTGGCGGTTACTTAGCTAGTTAGGGATTACCTCATCAAATGAACAATTGGTTAAAATATTGTTGATCATTATCCGTACATTGACATTTCTCAGAAACATGTTTGGGTCAGGCAAGGTGTGAAACAAAAATCAACACGGTGGTGGGGAGGGGAGGGGGGTACACACACAGCAGCCAAGGCAAGGTTCAGAACCACACTGCACAAGAGAACCAGAATGAGTCTCGTTTGCAAGAGTGACCCTGGGCCGTGATTTTTGCCACGAGGGAGCGATGATTCCTGCTCCTGCTGCTGCTGCTTCTGTGTCTAATCCCCCAATCCAGTCACTTGCTGCGCTGTCATTATCGAATGCTGACGGCGGCGCACAGTGGCCTCCTCTTCGCGAATGACGCGCAGCGGATCGCACGGCGCGTGTTGGCGCGGTTAAAGTTACGCGCCGCAGTCATCACCGGGGCGGCTACCGCTCGCCTCTAAACCGTGAACCTTTTTGCGGTAAGTGGCCGAACGCGCTGCCGCTGGGCCGTGTCACCGTCCAATAAATGTCGGCGTGCACGTGTGTGCACAAGTACCTGTGATGGTGTACGCTAATCAGGGCGCTGCGGTGGCAAGATGTTGGCTTCCTCACCTGGTATACAAGAGGTCGTGGGTTCCATCCCGATCCCGACGCTGACGCCTGCTGTATATTTGGAGTTTGCGGTGTCGCTTTCTCTCTCCTCGCGGTCGCGTGGATTTTTCTCCGGGTCTTCCAGTTTTTTTCCCTCCACAGTTATAAACGTGCGTTTAGAGTATTTGGCTGCTATAAATTTTCTACGTGATAAGCCAGTTTGTTGAGTTGTCATTTGTCGACAGGTCGCTTCTAACTGTTAGAAACGTGCGTTTAGAGTATTTGGCTGCTATAAATTACTACGTGATAAGCCAGTTTGTTGAGTTGTCATTTGTGGACAGGTCGCTTCTAACTGTTAGAAACGTGCGTTTAGAGTATTTGGCTGCTATAAATTACTACGTGATAAGCCAGTTCGTTGAGTTGTCATTTGTGAACAGGTCGCTTCCGAAAAAGAGCTACATAGCTCAGAGTGCCTTACCTGGTAAAATAAAAACTAGTTTGCCTTACCTGGTAAAATAAAAACTAATTTAGTTTTTAGTTTACGTACACGTACCTGGTACGTGTCGTGCACGGTGAGCTGACTGCGGTACGAACCCTGCGACCCGAGTTCCATTCCTGCTCACGGCAAATACGGACGTGATGATTAACAAAAATAAAATGGAATGGGAAAGGTAAGAGCAAAGATAAACAATGGGGAATGAGAAGAAAGGATGGAGGGAGCACAGGGGGTCAGGAGAGATGAGGAGAGGGCAGGGGAAGAGTCTGCACGGAGGAGCAGCGTCTGTTCTCAAAGTGGGCGGGGAGAGGGGAGGGCTTCAGAGTGGGAGTGACCACACAGAAGTCACGTAGTTTACGGGAGATTTGTACACGTGTCTGTGTGTTCACGTACGTGGGGAGCGGTAGTGTAGCGGTTAGCGCGCTATGCTACGAACCCAGCGACACGAGTTCGATTCCCACTCACGGCCAACACCAGTGACGATCATCTGAACCGCTCCTGGGCTTCCCCTAGGTCGACTCAGGCTCAAATGAGTACCTGCTGTGGTGTGTAAACATCGCCACTGGGGAGACAAAGGCTGCCGGGCGTGGTGTCTGCCACCCACTCCCTTTTGTGCCGTGCCGGCCTTCATAGGTGCTACTCGCTAACAGCACTTGCCCCAACAGTCTGTTAAAGGCTACACGGGGGATCTTTGTCTACACGTACCCGTGAGCGAGTGCTGGTGGTGCGCGTTGTCGGGGATGGAGGCGATGCGTGGAGGTGCCCTCCTGGCTCTTCTCGCCTCCACGTGGAATCACTCGTGGATGTTCACAGTGACGCAGAAGAAAGAGACCCGGGTAGGTCTGCGGTACACAAAGGGGGCGAGGTGATGATGGTGATGATTAGGATAGTGATGGTGGTTTTAGGATTATTGTAGTGGTTTTATGATTATTGTAGTGGTGTGATGACGATTGTGGCACTAGTGGTCATTTTTGTGGTGTGATAATGATGATGATGATTGTGGTACGTGATAAGTACGATTGTGATGATGTGATGATGATGAGAGTGGTGTGATGATGGTGATGATGATTGTGGCACTCGTGGTGTAATGGTGATATCAAGAAATAGTGTAAGGATGTTGACGAGTGTGGTTGTGTGATGATTTCAATGGTGTGGAATTGATACAGATGATGATGATGATCGTAGTATGATGATGATGATGATGATTGTCGTAGTATGGTGATGATGATAGTTGTAACAGTCTGATGAATATGATTATTGTAGCAGTATGATGATGATGCTGATGACTGTAGTACTATGATGATGAAGCTGATGATTACAATGGGTGGAAACAATGTTGGCAATGGCGTTAGTAATGCACACGACGATGATGGCGACAGCCGTGTAGATGGTCTTACTGCTGCTGGTGCTAGTGGCAGTGGTGGTGATAGGGATGTCCATGGTGATGTTGATGGAAGTGATGGACGTGATGGTGGTGGTGTTCGTGGTGATGTTGATGGACGGTAGAGGCGATGCTGGTGGTGGTGCACGTGTTGCTCTTGATTATGAAGGTGATGGTGGAGGTGGTGGTCGTGGTGATGTTGATAGACCTGGAGGCCACGATGCCCTCCGTAGATCTTCGACGACGGAGGATCGCTCTTTGAGGTTGAGCAGCACGGGCGACTCATTGAGGAAGATCAGCATGGCTGTGACCCCGATCTTGTCGAAGTTGGGCGGGTTCATCTGGTTGACCTCCGAGTCCTTCACCACTGCCACCACTGTCGACAGGACGGAGGAGGATAGTAACCAATGCTCCCTCACTCGCTCGTTCTCTCGCTCGCTCTCTCTCGCTCGCACAAAGACAAAGGTCCCCCTGATATCCGTAACATTGTTGGGGCAAGTGCCGTTAGCGAGCACCTATGAAGGTTAGAACGGCGCACGAGTTGGTGAGGTGGCCTACACCACGCTCGGCCGCCTTTGTCTCCCCAATACCGATGTTTACACGCCACAAAAGGTACTCAACTAAGTCGAGTTAACATTGAGCCAACCCAAGTGGTGGATCTCAGGTCGCCGGGTTCGTGGTGTATTTAGTCCATGAGACGGGGTCAGATGTGTCACCTGTCGGTACCACCTGAGGTGGCATCCCTTTAGCGGTTACAGTTTTAGAATGTGGCCAATAATAGTGAATTGTGTGGTAATCGCGTCAAATGAGTGGTGTTATCATTGAGCCAATAAATACATGAGTACGACTAAAGTTTTGCTACATTGGGTGGTACCTATTTCGTTTATTCAGTCAGGGGGAGTCACGTGGAGCCACTGAGACCCATGGTGGAAACCACGTGGAGCTGGGTGGAACAAAATCAACCGCACCGTACCCTGGTCATCCATGCTCGGTCTCCCGTCCTGACCTTTCCGCCCTCGCTTCTCTGGACCACGCGCCTGGACGAACTCCATCTTCTCGTGGAACACGAAGGGCCACGCGCTGCAAGCAGAAGGGGCGAGTCCGCTCCTCCAGCCGCTCCTCCTCCTCAGTCTTGTGCAACTAGATGGGCCGCCCCACCAAACTCGCTCTCCATGTTTCTCATTCCTGGGGGGCACACGGGAAGGGCGGGGGGCACCTGTGGGAGCACAGGGGGGCCCTTAGGGTTCGACGATCCCAAGAACGACCACGTGTATAAGTGCAGAGCGGTGGCGCAATGGTTAGCGCACTGCTCTATGAAACTGACGACCCCGAGCTCGATTCCTTCTCATGCCCAACATCATTGACGATTATCTGAACCGGTCCTGGACCTCCCCTAGGTCGACTCAGCCTCAAATGAGTACCTGGTGCGGTGTGTAAACATTGGCGCTGGTGCTGACCACCCACCCCCTTGTGTGCCGTACCGGTCTTCATAGGTGCTGCTCGCTAACATCACTTGCCCTAACAGTCTATGAAATCTACACGGGGGATCATTGTATGGAAAATCTGAACTAGTCCTGTGCCTCCTCGAGATGTACTACCAAGCACGCGGTTGCTGTGAAACAATTCCTGGTTTTCCAGTTGGGTTGCAATGACAAATCGATGGGTAAAGGTTGCTTACTGTGCCGGTTTGCACGGCTGTGCTGCTGTGCCGCGTATTGTTCAGCACCCATGTGCGACGTTTTAGCTCCACGTGCTGGGAGCTTCTTTCAGGAACCGAAAACGTCCCTGAAGAATATCGTGAAAGTGATTCCAGAAATGTGGAGCGAAACGTTGGACATCATGCTGAACAACCCCAAAAAAACCATTGCAAACACACAGTCTCTGTACCTCGAGAATAAGTTATGATCAATCACCCCACTTTAAACGAATATAAAAAGTATTTAAAAAAATCTGTTCTCATCCACATTGTTCCAAACTCATTTTGCTTCTAAATTGTATTTTTTAAAATATTTTTTTACCGGTGATTATTTGTCCTGGTATTTAGTAAACGCCAAGGTAAAGAGGTCATCACGGTCAATGTCATTGATTCCACTACACTTCGCTGTTGTTACAAAAGTCTGACTTACACAAATCTTAAAGTCTCACCATCATCATTCAATTCTGGCTTCAGCAACGCTCGTTGTGACACAGTTGGCACGTCCATCAGTGGAGCACTATTGCAGTCTCACCTCCACCACCACTTGGCTTTCAGATTTTCCCATTGGTCGGCGATCTCTGTAAGTCCAAATATCACGCTCCTGAATGGGCAACATTTATCGTACGAAGAAAACAAATCGATAAAAAAGTATCCTTCCGATCGATTTTTGTTTCTCTCTCCAAACTCATTTAATTCAAACAAACAACACTTTTTCAACCACCACAAACCGATTGTTAACCCAGCCGACTCATGCCCTCGCACGTACACACGCGTGGACGACGCGTGTCACTCACGCGATCATCACCCAGGGTAGCGGCTGCTGCGACTGTGAGATCCCGGGGCTCGCCCAAGACCACGGGGCAGACCCCCTCGACCCAGGTTACCCCCCCCCCCCCCCTTCAAGGAGCCCTTCTTACCGGCGCTGGTCGTGGTTCAGAGTTGGCCACGGGCCTGGCACCGTGTGCTCCTTTATATCCACTTTCACTGGGAGGGAGGTCGGGCACGGACGGCGGTGGTGGCAGGGAGCTGGGGGGGGGGGGGCGACGAGGTGTGTTGGGCAGGGGGAGGAGGAACACGAGAGGCCCCCTCGCAAAGGGGTCCCGCACAGTCATTTCGGGGGCAGTGTGACCTCGCCTTTTAGGGGCACGAGGGGGCCCCGTATAGAAATTCCTGTTCCGCTACCCCCCCCCACCGCCCCAATTTATCCCCTCCCATCCTCACACCTCCCCAGCCCCGCTGATTGTATCACCCTCAGGGTTGGAGGGCAATGGGGATAGGCACGTGGCGGGGAAAGCGAGCGGCGTTACCGCGCGCGCCGGGTGGGGAACAGCGAGCGCGGCAGAGGGGGTTGTGAGCTCCCCTCTCGCTGAGGAATGACTCTGGAAGAAGGCACTGGCGTCCTTTGTCTGCGCGCTGTAGTCGCTGCTAGCGGGGGTCATGGGTTCCACCACGATGGGCCATCGACTACCGGGGATCATCGACTCGGAGGGGTGGGCTCCGGGCAGAGGACATTTGTAGCGGGGTTATGCGGCGGGCAGTGCAGAAACAAATAGTAGTTGTACCGTACTTCTATGTCTACACCTGTGTGTTCCCCGCCTCCAACGCTCATCAACAGCGCAATGACAGTTTTGTTTATCGAGTATATGAGTCGGCTGCCCATGGTCGGGCAAGGGCATAGCACCACCACCACCACTTTTCACCCAGGCAACTGGAGAGCACAGACATTCACTTACTTATTTATCTATCACTCATGACACGCACGGCGTGTGCGCGATGGGAGGCCCTCATCCAGCAGTGGAATGGCAAATAGGGTTGTTGTACACGTTCATGCGCGCAACAGTCGATGTATTTGAATGAATAGGCCAGTCGCTACAGAAGTGACTCTGGATAGTGCTTGGATGGGCGACCTCCATACGTAAAAGAGGCTGTCGGGTGATGCTGCGAGGCTATGGTGTGAGCAGCAGAGGGCAGTACAGCAAAATCTATTGTTGTACTGTACTACTACGCTCCTCTGTCCATCAATGTGAAACTGATTGACCTGTGTGCTGAAAGTGTTGTCAAACTTCCCGCATGACCGGCACGGTGTGGACAGGATGACTGCACCCAGCGGCAAGGTTTACAAAGGGCTGTGGATTCCAGAGCCTTCTGGAACGTGGAGCCCACGTGCCCGCGCGTTATTGGGTACATTGAGAACATCGTAATCCGTGCTTGCAAAATCATCAAATCGTGCCTTTTAATGCTCACGTCCCTTCAACGAAATAGTTGCTTTACGCAAAAAAAACATCTACATATATTAATTGGGTCTTTCGGTAAAGTCACGTAGGTAGGTTCGAAGAAAATAACTAAAAATAACAAAAACATTTTTTGAAATTTTTGTAAATAACACATTTTTTTTGTAAATAACAAAAAACTAGTTTTTTTATTTTTTGTTATTTTCTTTTAACCTATCTACGTGACTTTACCGAAAGACCCAAAGAATATGAATTCCTGCAGTCACGAAAGCTTTAAGTCAAGATTTTACATCTACATATCTACATCAGCTAAAACCTCCCGTAAATCACGTGGCTTCTGTGTGGCCACGCCCACTCTGAATCCATCTCCAAGCCTCCCAGTGTGAGAACAGACGCCGCTCCTCCGTGCCGCTCACTTCTGGTCATTCTTCATCCCCTCTTGTATGTATGTGTGTTAAACTTCTTTCGCGCCGTACGTAGCCAACCGTGCTCGTCAGAGGTGCTGGGGAAGGACAACAAACGAAACACGAAAATCAGTTATAAATACTTTCGCTTTCAAAACGTCTTCTTCTTTCGTACGGCTGATGTAGATGCAGAGCAACAACTACAATTTCACATTCAGGTGGTCAAGCCAGATAACCGCATCAGGAGTAGCGGAGTGTATCGCTGTGACGTCTCCTTCGTACAAAACTAATTTCTCATCACCACGAGCACCACCCTCTCATCCCCCTCCTCCTCCTCTCTCTTCCATGCTGCTCATGTTGAGCCGTGCCCTCCTCTTTGTCCGACTTGAGGACTTCCGTCCCGGCATCCCTTCCATTTCCCATTCATTTTAACCCCCTCGTCTGCCTGGTAAGCAGAAGGTCGTTGGTTCGATCCCGACCCTGACGCCTGTACATTTGCAGTTTGCAAGTCTCTCTCCCCGTGGCTGCGTGGATATGTCTCTGGGTTCTCCGGGTTTTCCCTCCATATTTATGATCTAAACGCGTTTAGAGAATGTGGCTGCTTGAAAATGCCACAAGATCAGCCACTTCGTCGCTTCTAAAAACGAGCTATATATATAGCTCAGTGGGCCTTACCTGGTCAAATAAAATATATATTTTCTACTCTACTTCCCTACCCGTGGTGTACCACGGGAACAAATTTGTTAAAAGTTTTGTTGTTTTGTTTCACTTTATACCATTATGCGTAAGCCTCTGGATCCGTGCTTGGTGGATGTTTAATTGTATTAGGCTTTGGTAAAATCCTATAATCCGCGGTGTGATGAACGATTCTACGCTTCTAACCCGCGGGGTAATAATTTGCAAGTAGCCCCACGAATAATAGGACCAATTTTCCCCCGTAATTCCGCATATCCGCGAGAACATTGCGAGTATCAGAAAGCCGATTCGCTGCGCATTGTGTGTAACATCGCGGATAATAGGAATACGGCCGCGGATAATAGGAGTTTTTCGAGAACCGTAACAGCTGCCATGGATAATAGGAGTCGAGGGTAATAGGGCGGCAGATTAGAGGAGTTCATGTGTGTGTGTATATATTATTGAAATACTCTATTACAAACGTTAGGGGCAATGTTATTTGCATCGTGGATCGTTGCATCACGGGACCGTGAGGAATCGTGAAGGCGTGGGGAGGCCTTCATCCAGCAGTGGACAGATCATGTCTGATGATTTTTTATTTATTAAAATATTTCACCTGGCTAATCAATCTGTCGACATGGGAACACCTCATTTGCAAAATGCGGTCCAGCGCGTAGATTGACACACACACACCGCACAACGTGAAAATTTTACAGCACGTTCAGAATGCGGCTGCCAGGGTGTTAACCAGAACGCCTTCTTCACATCATATTACACCCGTTTTGGCCTCCCTGCACTGACTTCCAGTTTCACATAGAATACAATATAACATCTTATTGTTAAGTTATAAAGCAGTTAACCATCTTGCCCCAGACTACATCATTGACATTGCTGGACCCCCCATGTCCCATCAAGGCCCCTAAGATCCGGGGATGCAGATCTTCTCTGTATTTATTCCCAGGTCGAGGTTTCGGTCTATGGGTGACCGAGATTTTTCCCGTGTAGCCCCCAGGCTATGGAACGCTCTGGCACGTGATATCAGCGATCTCAGAGTCTGTGGACATCTTTAAAATGCGCCTTTAAACCTATTTATACGTTTCCGCTTATTAAACTTTTAGTTATTGCATTAAATGATTCCTAAAATGTGTTTATAGTATTGTTTTTATGCTGAGTGGCTGCTGCTGCTGTGTCCTATACAGCGCTTTGAGATCCTTGATGAAACGCGCGATATAAATTTAATGAATAATTATTAATCACCACGTACACTAACATTTAAAATCTTTCCCTGATTTTAGTTTTGTCAAACAAAAGTTGTGCATGATTATGATTTGATTTTGTGCCATGAGAGGTGATGGGGAGGGCAGGGGTCAACGTTGGCGCGTGGATCAACGTTGTTGTCCCAACGGTTCCAACGTTGGCTCAACGTCGACCCAACGTTGGCCCAAATCAGCCCCAACGTTGGGCCAACGGTTCCAAAGTTGCCACAACATTGGGCCAACGGTTCAAAAGTAGCCCCATCGTTGGGTCAACGTTAGCCCAACGGTTCCATCGCAGCCCCATCGTTGGGTCAACGTTGGCCCAACGGTTCCATCGCAGCCCCAACGTTGGCCCAACGTCGGACCGACGTGTCGCTGGCTCGATGGAGCGCTCGCCGTGGCGAGCACGGGGTATCGCCACGCGGAAGAGGGGCGAGGCGCGCCCCGCCCACCCCTCCCGAACAAGGCGAGAAGTCGCTTTGACAAACGCCCCCGAGGCTCGCCCATCGTTGAGTGGTTGAGCCTCGACACCGACGCGCCCCCCCCCTACACCCAATCCCGACGGCGCGCGCACGAGGCCCGCGGGGCGAATTCCAAATGCGACTCCGTGCGCGCGAGCCGGGAAGGTGACGCTACAGCGATGGCCGCCTACCAGTCTCTCAAGCTGTGAGTCGCCGGGTCTCTCTTTCCCCTCGCCCTCGTTTCTCACTCCAAATTGAGCGGCGGGTTTCAACCCCTTGAGGTTGCGCGGAATTTTACCCCGCCTCCCTACGTGGTGCTGACATTTGATGGGTTGTTTTTGTTTTTTTAACGACAGCAGCCACAGTCGAGAACCACCCCCGTTTTCACCTGCCGATGTTGCCGGCTGCGACGCGCGCTGACGCGGCCGGGGCGCTAGGCAAGAGCGAAGGGTCGGGCGTGCGGCCTTGTGCCGCGGCTAATAATGATGCCGATGCGGTTGCCCACGCGGGTGTTAAAGAGCCAAGCCGTATTCCCCCTTTGTCTCTAAATTATTCCCCTTCGTATTTGAATTTCATGTCTTTCGCATTGTCGATTAGTATTTAAGTGTTACGTACCCTTGCAAGTTGAGTGATAACGTTTGCAATTAGAATATCCAGGTGCCAACGTTGAGTAATTGGGTTGTACGTGCACAGCCCGTCTTGTCAAGGCACTGCCGATGACGGCCTACACACCACCCCCCTCCAACGCCTTGCGGGCCGTGAGGGATATTTAACCATACTTCACCACGTTGGTCATTGCGGATTGGTGAATGGGGCGGGTCGGCACAGGACAGGGGCTGAGGTGTTGCTCGCCACTGATGTTAGCCGTGCCTGGGAAGCGTTGACAGCCCGCTGTCAGTCCAGTTGCAGCATGAAGGGCTCTCCACCCTGTGTGTGTGTGTGGGGGGGTCATGCCTACTAAATGTTGGTGTAGACATATGTGCAGAACGGCAGTGGAGGTCGCTGCACTGCCCTCTGGTGCACGCGGCGGCGATGGCGCCTGTGTTGATGTTTGGTGGGCAACTCGACTGCGCCAGCCAGGCTCAAAATTCTGCCTCGCTTCCGGTAGCTGACGAGATCCGGGCACGTTCTGCGTGGTTTGGTTTATCCCCTCATGTCACGAGTGCTGCTATTTATACTTAAATGTAATCCGCTTAATGCTTGGGCGCCGCGCTGGCGATATGTTAAATATCTCGCCTGGTATATCGGTGGTCGTGGGTTACATCCCGACCCTGACGCCTGCTGCTGTATATTTGGAGTTTGCGTGTCTCTCTCTCTATCCCCGTGGTCGCGGTGATTTTTCTCCACGTCTCCTGGTTTTTCATTCCACATTTAGAATCAACATGCGTGTAGAGCATTCGACTGCAATATTTTTCCACACGATAAGCCACTAAGTTGAGCTGTCATTTGTGACCAGGTCGCTTCTGAATTTTTTTTTACATATATCAGTGGGCCTTAGCTGGTAAAATAAAAATAGTAGTACTAGACTATCACCTCGTATCTTCAGGTACTACGGCTTTATTCAACATGTGCATTCTGTCATGGGTATTAATGTGAGAGCCCCTAAAAAAAGGCCGTGCGAGTCGGTGATGCTTTCGTGGATTAACGACACTGTTATTAATTTGGCTGGGGCCTCGTGTCGGGTTTTAAATCTTGGGTAAGAGACGGTGGTTGTCAGTGTGCGAGACGAAGGGACCGCCACTCGCAGAGATGGAGGGTTTCTGTCTTCTGTCAGAGCTTGCTTCCGTCCCCTTGTCATGATGTAAACGCCTGACCGATAGCCCCACCCGTCCGTTCATTAGGCTCTACAGCAACGTGTTATTTTGCCTTGATTTGTTGAACGTCTACCTGTCTCAGCCTCCATATAAGTTTATGGGCCATTACCTGAGATGGCAGGCGGTGTTATATCATGGGAACTTTTTTTTCTTCCAATATCAGAGTATGAACATTTTCGAATGGTTTTACCCTTTCTGGCATGTTTGCTTCAAGTACGTGTGGTTAATGGAGACTTGAGTCCTTGGAAAAGGTCCCTATTTGGTGTTCCAACATCTTAACACCTTTTTATTGCCAGAAAGGGTAAAATCTATTCTTATTTTTCATATCAGCCTATGTTATCAAATAGTTTTATTTTACCCGCCATATGAATGTGGAATTTCCACCACTGGCTCTGAGCTGTAAGCAGGAGATGAGCACTGCCTCAGTGCTCCTTTGAGCAGGGAATCACTTGGACTTTTTACAAGGCAGTGTTATCTACATATGGGGCGAGTTATCGATGAATGCATGTACACAGCTGCTCGTTCACTCATTGAATTTATTTGTCTACGGTTAAGTGTGGACAATGTTGCCAGCCCACATCTCAGGCGATAACTCTTTCGCCCAGCGATGACAAGGCTTACTCGCAACTCTTGTGTTAAGCTTGACATAAGCACTCGCGCACACAAACACCCCTTGGAATGCCACGTAGATTTACATTACGTGTTGCCTTAGTCCACTTATTGTTTGTTCCTGGAGCCTTGCTGAGTAAGGAAGGTAAACTTCCTGTCTGCTGCAACTGAAGGATGCCCTGAGTTTAAGGTTATGGTTGTAGCAATGGGCTGGACTGACATAAAAAACCCAATGCAGCCATTGAGCTCTTGCCACACAAGGGTGACTAGGCAAGCCAACTTCAGCATAATGTGTTCGCAGCAGAGATGGGGAATATTTTTGTAACCGAGGACCAAATGGGACATTCATGTGCCTTTGGTTGGGCTGCACATTGACACACAACTCATTCATCGCTGTTACTCCAGAGAGTTACCCTTGCAGTAACACAAGTGACTGAGCAGGCCATTTTTAAGTGCTAGGCCTCATGCGTCCACGGGTCATATGAAATGAAGCAGTGGGCTGTATTCGGCCTGCGTGCGGTAGGTTCTCCCATCCTGGTTTAGAGCGTCAGGGTGTAGCTTGCGAACTCATTCTCAGTTACCACCTCTCACTATCACCAGTCTTCACGGTTGTGAATGCCACAAACACACACTCACGAAGGAGTCGTCTTTCTGCTGTTCACCCGACACTCGAACGAGCTCGCTCTTCTGACCCCGGTCTCTCTCCTCCCTTGTGCAGCCACACGACTCCGGACAAGTTCTACGTGGAGGCGTGCGACGAAGGCAGTCATGATGTGCTCGCCATCGACAGAGTGTCCACAGATATCAGTCTCACGGGTGCGTGCAAAGTCTCAACTCCTGTTTGGCTTTCTATGTGTTTGTGGAACCTTTTTTGCACCGTACATAGCCAATCGTGATAATCAGAGGTGAGGGGGAAGGACAACAAACTCAACACAAAAATCAGAAAGAAATTAGGTTTAAGTCTAGGTTTAAAAGTGCATAGCTCCCATGGCTTCTTATTATCGGAAGGAAGAGTGTTCCAGAAGGCCGCAGAAGTGCATCCGAAAGCGCGTGATGAGGTGACGATTTTTGTTCAATGGCTAGCCAGAAGCCGCCGCTGCTAGGGTGACCGGAGTTCACGTGATGGTTTATGCTCCTTGAGATTAGCGAGGTGATTGTGGTTAATTTGTGTGCAAGCACTTTGTGTGCAATGGGGGAGGGGGCAAGCTAGGATTCTTTGTTTTGTCATACATTGTGTCTGTACACTGTACAGAGGATGTACACGTGCGACTCATTCACTGCGTGTGACGACAGTGTGAGGGTCTTGTGTGGCCTTCGGGCACCTGTGTTCTATTGGCCGCATTGCCCTTGCAGTCAAGGGATTCTCTGTGGTCTAAACGTCAGTTCCAAAATAGTTACAATGTAATGATTAACTCACCACCCAACTCCACACCTGCTTTTCAGTATATATTTTTTGTTATACTCCATCGCTCTAAACTGCAATATTTCCTGAAGAATGCCCATTGCTCAAAATGTCAATTGTCCGGAGACATTCTAAAATGTAAGCCGTTAACTTTAACTAGCCTTGTATTTCTTTCCATACATTTGCTGAATCGGCACATTTATACCAATACAGTATAATAATTGTTGACATTATTTTAGGTGGTCTTATGGCCTTTTAGAAAATGTATCCTTATGGCGGTGCCCTGGGGTGCCAAATAATACAAAATGGAGCCGAGGCAATAAAATATTTTATTTCTGGGACATTATTTTAGTCCAGAGGCGTACTTCACTCTGCGACTGGGGTACCAATCAATCTGAAATCAGTGCTACTCCGCGATGTCGAAACGCAGTGAGGACGATTGCGCTGAAACCCTGAACGCTCGTACGCACCATAGTGCATCGTGTACAGCTCGTCGAGATGAGTCGATTGCCGCATTGCCGACCATCAAGAGACTAAAAATGACTGCATCACGGACATTGTGCGAGAGCCGGGGTCCTATGGCACCTCGGGGTACCGCCATAAGGTTCAATTGTGTTTTTTTATGCGTGTTATTTCGACCCACCCTGTATGTGTTGAAATGTCTTGCCTGCTGATTTGCCATGTATTTTACTTACTCATTCGTCGTTTACAACTCTTCCTTCCCTTTTCCCATCGCAGTTCAGAAAGACATTCCTCCGTCGGCGCTCACGCAGCACATATGCTGCATCGTCGGGACCATTCGCCTCGTGGCAGGTGAAGGGAGTCCCTTCCCTCGCTCCGAACGCTTCCACGGTGGCGAGATGTTAACTACCTCGCTTGATATACAGGAGGCCTTGGGATCAATCCCGACCCTGTTGTTTGTATATTTGGAGTTTGCGTTTCTCTCTCCCCATAGTTGCGTGGTTATTTCTCCGCGTCCTGCGGTTTTGCCCTTCACATTTAGAAACAAGCGCTTAGAGTATTTGGCTGCAATAAATGTCCACGTGATAAGCCACTTTGTTGAGTTATCATTTGTGATAGCCTGGTCACTTCTGAAAAAGAGATATAGCTCAGTGGGCCTTACCTGGTAAAAGAAAATAAAAATAACTTAGTAACAAAATTGTTCCCTTGAGAAGAGGCAAAACTACTTTTTTGGCAAGCAATGCCAGAATATATCTTCGGGACCTTTTTTCGAGTATCAAAACGATGAAAAGATAAGAATAGGCTTTACCCTTTCTATCGAGCTATCATTTGTGGCCAGGTCGCTTCTGAAAAAAGCAGCGAATAACTCAGTGGTCTTTACCTGGTAAGACGAATTTTTTATTTTATTTATATATTTTTTAAAGTTATTTGTTTATCTTTTCTATACCTTTCCCTCTGACCGTGTTTTTGTATTGTTGTAACATTCTGACATGTCCCTAATGGACATCTGTGAAAGAGAGCTTTATAGCTCTTCGAATTCCTCCAGTAAAATAAAGATTCCGATTCAACTTAAACAGCTGATAATGATTGCTTGTGTTGCAGTCGAAACGTCGTGAGAATTTTATTGTTTTATATTTTTATTTTATTGTTTCCCTTCTACGTGACTTTACCGAAAGAACCAAGAATATAGCTGTTAAGATGTTCAAACACCAAATAGATATGATGACATAATGTTATTGGAAGATCGTGGTCGAAGTACATGGCCGATTTCCCGACTTGGCCACTCTTAATTGCGGTAACGTGATGACGTCCGCCTCGCCAACAATGGGCTGATTCTCCCAAGGTGTTTTGGCCACTTCACCAAAGTGTGATTCTGGCCCAATGTGGCTGGGTGGCTCAGAGCTCAAAGCACTGAGATGGCACTGCTGAGATCCTGGGTTTGAATCTAGGTTTCAGTCGTCAATTATTAAACCAGGTTCTCAAGTGCAGTGAGTTGATGGTTTTAGCCAGGATGCTAATGACTGCGCAAAAAACCTATCACGTTTGCTTAATATTGGACAAAGTACAACTCTGTCATGAGACAAATATTACTCTCATTGGCAGAGCTACTGTGGAATTGCTGCCCCTCCTTTTGCATGGACCAGAGATCACTTCATGAATGCATCTCGAATGTGAAGGATCGTGCCTGTTTGCGAGAGATCCGAATGGACACGATGTCCCAAGACAGGACACCGATGGCACAATGGGGATATATCTGGAATGTGAATTTGGCCCCTAATCGCTTCTCACATAGCACCACCAGCATGGTGGCATGGTGGCATGGTGACGCAGTGGTAACACTTGTGCCTTACAGAAACCCAGCCCCAAGAAGTACCTGGGTTTGATTCCCGACTCAGTCACCTTTCTGTGTGGAGTCTCCATGTTCTCCCCTTCAGAGTTCTCCAGTTTCCTGCCTTAGCTAAAGAGTGAACGTACAATGTAACTAGTATTGTCCAAACATCCCAATGCTGTAAAATTACCAGCATTTCACTCAATTGAGATTCAACGTAAAAAATCGCCCCCCCCGCCCCCCCACTGCAAAAACTTGGCAGTACACTCCTGAAAAAGAGCCTTGACACTCGGTGAGGATTTCCTTGGTAAATAAGCATCATAGCATGTGCTTTAAGTTGGTGCTATAAACCCGAGCAGCACCACCACCTTAATACTATGCATTGGTCGGTCTGCATATTTGGGTGCATATCAATACTGAGAACGCACAGACAAGGATCGGTGGCACTTCAGCCGTTTTATTATTTGGAATGAAAGACCGGCCCTTCTCCCCCCACCGACAGGCATGTACTTGATTGTGGTGACCAAGAAGGAGAAGCAGGGGGAGATCTCGGGCCAGGCCATATGGAAGGCCGTGGAGTTTGACATCCTCTCCTACCAGAAGACCATCCTGCACCTGACGGACCTACAGGTGTGGCCTTGCAAAACACTCCAGCGTGACCTTGTTTAATGGGCGGCATGCAACAACTTAGGCGTGGGCATGACACCATCACTGTTAAGTAAACTTTAAATTCATGCTGACCGCTAACTAGAATGTGTAAAGGGCACATGATGTCTTTGCTAATGCAAAACATTTCAGCATTTCTTGAAGATTTGCGTTGTGGTTCTCTTGTCTTTTTGAGCAAATGTTACCAATTGGCAGGTGCAGTTGGTTACATTTACTCATATTTATGTTAATTGTCACCCTCTTCCTGTTGCAGCAAACCGCCACTGGTGTTAAATATTGCCGCCAACATTTTTGACTTGACCATGATAATTTAGTTTGGGGACTTGAGCCTTCAGCCCTCCTCTGGCCCTCTCCGACGCTATGGGCTGACGGTCACAACTCCTCCAATCCATGACGAGTAGGGATCCGATCTGCGTGGCCACCCTCCTGCTTTGCGCCCTCCGCTCACCGCCCCTTTGGCGCTCCCTCCGCGTCTCCAGGCTCAGGATAACAAGACGCTGCTGATGATGCTGCGTGGCGTCCTGCACACGGAAAGCTTCTTCTTCTCCTGCACATTCGACCTGACGCACAGCCTGCAGCGCCTGGCCAACACCAGCCCCGACTTCCACGAGATGTCCCTCTGCGAGCGGGTGCCCCACCGCATGCCATCCCCGCACACACAACCTCGCCACAAGCTCACCACAACCTCACCACCGCCGCACCACAATCTGCACAAAATTGCACCACGTACCACGCACACAACTGCACCACAAACCACACCGCGAACTGCCCCTTTAAGCCGGAAGACTGCTATCGCCACCATCTTGGATCATTCTCAGTTCCGATGCGTCCCGGCTGACAACTGACTTTAAATCGGGTGCCTAGTTTGTCATGCCCGCTACATCTGCGTGTCCTTGATGCGAGTATTTTTCTTTGTTAAGCGTCCTTTTTAAGTCGCCCCTTGCCGTGCCCGTCGTCCCCGCTTCTGTTGACCCCGTGTGCACGCCAGGCCGACCAGCGGTTCGTGTGGAACGGTCACCTGCTGCGGGAGTTGCTCACCGTCCCGGAGCTGCACCGCTTCGCCGTGCCGCTCATTCACGGCTGTATCCTTTCTGTGTGCCACATGGCAGCGCCGCGTCGGCCACGGGTTCCGGCCGTGGGAGCATTGTACCACAGTTAAACTCTCGCCCACTGCGCGCGCGAACAGTTGGGACGGCACATTAGCCAGCGCCGGGCGACCATGCCACGGTGGTACCGGTGGCCTAGGTCGTGTGCTTCTGGTAAATTCTCATCAATCACTGGGTTAAAGGTGAATCAAGTGAACATTAAACAAACTATGAACTTTAATACTTGTTACCAGGTAAGGCCCACTGAGCTATATAGCTCTTTTTTAGGAGCGACCTGACCACAAATGGTAGCTTAATGAAGTCGCATATTTGCGTGGAAATTTATAGCAGCGAAATCAAGTGGCACCCAACATTTAACATGATGTTTTGTGCCACCTCTGGTGACCAGCTTAAAACCATCAGCTCACTGAACATGAGAACTCCGTTTAAGCATGGCCATCTATTTGTGAGTCAGTGGGTCTCTGTGGTCTGTATGTTTGCGCCCCACCAGCATTCGATTACGTCGGTAAGCAAATATTTTTTTGTAATTTAAATGTTTGGCATGACCTGTGCTTTTGTTTTTATCTGGGATATCCATCCCCACCTTTCTCCCATCCCCAATCACCCTGGATAATAGCGAGTTGACTAATTTATCCATTTTAAAATGGGAAATTTAAACGTTTTCATCTGCGGTCAGAGGCACGTGGGGCTCGTGCGCAAATTAACAATTAACTGAAGAGTCGGCACTTGACACCAGGGAGCTCCAACTTTAGTCTGACGAGCGCGTGTCGGATGTGACCCTCGCTGTAACGAGTGCATGTTGACCGTGACCTTGGTCTACAGGAACGGCTGTACTCTTAAGTAGCTTGTTGGAGCCTTTTTGTCATATAGTATGCGCACGTAACAGCCACAACAATGCAAATTAAATACTCTTCATTTCACCCAATAGATCAAACCCAGAGCCTGCATAAGAATTTCGACGGCGCTCATACTTGCTTGGGTTTTAATTGGCCAGCCGTGCCGGTAATTGGATGTGTTATGCCCGGATGCCCACCGTTGTGTATCGTTCCTACGCTGGACTTGCAATCCAGAGGTCACTGTTCTCTATCTCCCAACTAGGCAGCAGAAGCGATGGGCAACATTCTTAAATCCTTCTGCCTCTGCTCAAACCAGCAGTGTAAATCGGTATTATGCGGTTGACTGGCAGGTTACGTGTAGGGGGGAGTAAAGATTGATTGCTCCCAGCTCTTCCAAGATGTCTAGCCGAGCGTGCAAGTGTTGGCCAAACATAGCTGCTCGACGGGCCCTCCAGAGCTCCCTGTCGCGAAGGCTCTTCTGCCGGTGGTGGCGTGAAAGCAGTCATTTCAGGGCTGCATCTGTACCTGAAAACAGGGTTTGTTTAACAGCGAGGAAGTGCCTGAACGCAGTGGTGGCGACGGGAGAGCGGAGGTCAGAGGGCGGGGGATGTGGCTGTGCCAGTTTCGTTGGCGACGTGGCACGGAGAGTGGTCTCCTTGACGGCGCCGCCCCCAGTCCTGTCCGTCAAGGCGTGCGTCATCAACGGGAAGGTGTTCGACTGGATCCTCATCTCGCGCCGCAGCTGCTACCGTGCCGGCGTTCGCTACTACCTGAGAGGCGAGGCGCGGTTGTTGTCCTTTGCGGAAAGTCGTGCCGCAGGAAACGTTTTTTTATTGGATTGCGTGCGGGTGCGCGGGTGGGCTCGCGCGTTAGTCAGCGCCGGGCGACCGGTTATTGATGAGATCAAATCTCATCAATAACCGGATGAAATGTGAATCAAGTGAACATCAAACTAAACTAGTAAACTTTTTTTTTATTTTGCCAGGTAAGGCCCACTGAGCAATTAAGCTCCTTTTCAGAAGAGACCTGTCCACAAATTATAGCCCAATGAAGTGGCCTTATGTGTGGAAATGTATAGCAGCCAAATACTCGAAACGGATGTTGATTCTAAATGTGGAGGTAAAAACCGGACTACCCGGAAGAATGGGGTCAAAACCATGACCTCCTGCATACTTGGCGAGGGAGATGCTCACGGTCCCTTTAGCTGGGCCGGGGGACAGCGGAGCCGGTAGGCAAACCGGGTGAGGCGCAAGCCTCGCCTCCCATCAACACCTCCGTTTTTTTATTAAAGCGACTTATTCGAGGTGTCTGTGACACTCGACGGGGATAAAAAGCCAAGAGAAGTGCCCCTAACCCACTCAATATGTATAAACACATTAGTTGGTGATACGGTGCTATCATTGGTGCACGAGCACAAATAACAACTCAACACGTCCACCAATAACACTGGCCTGATGAGGATATTTCATAGGACGTCATTTAAAGAAGGTACATTACATTTCGATTTAAAGCTTTCGTGACTGCAAGGATTCATCTTCTTTGGTTCTTTCGGTAAAGTCACGTAGAATGAGAATAAAATAATAAATTGATAAAATAAAATAACGTCGTGAGAATATTATTGTGTTATTTTATTTTATCAATTTATTATTTTATTCTCATTCTACGTGACTTTACCGAAAGAACCAAAGAAGAGAAGGTACATTACCCGAAATGACACAGATTATATACGTGTTCTTTTCAAGGCAACCTTATTGGCGAATCTTCCGAGGTTACTTTCTCATCAAGTTTTTACTATCAGTATATATATATAAAATGTGCTTGTCGTGGGGCATTAAAGCCGCTCAGCCGATCGGTGGGCTTAAGACGCCGACAACCCGAGTTGATGCCGACCACTCCGCTGTGACGATGACGAGCGGTGCTGGCGTGTGCCGAGCGGGCGGAATTAGCCTGGCTGTTGGTGGCGTCGAGGTGCGGCGAGGCGACGGCGACGCCAGCGTCATTGGGGTCCACCTTGGGCCCAGAGTCGTTCGGCTCTCAGCATTTATGATCGTCTCGTCCAACCCTCCTCCGCTTGGCAGGCATCGACCAAGAGGGGCACGCGGCGAACTTTGTGGAGACGGAGCAGATTGTGTTCTACGGCGGCAACAAGGCTTCCTTTGTGCAGGTCGGGGTTGAATTCCCACTTCCCAGCCAACCCCCATGATCACGCGCACAGTGTTCATGCAACACGCACCAGACACAAACACGCACGCTCACTCACACATACCACGCATCTGGCACACACCAGTTTCACTCACCCACACACGCACACAGTGTTCATGCAACATGCACGCCAGACACCAATACCAATACCCGCCATTTGCCACCAAGTGACGGTGACATCGCCACGGCGCATGTGCCCAGCGAAGTTCACTTTGAGGCCATTTGAAGAGTCGAAGGCTCGCTCACACTCACATACCATACACCCGGCACATGCCAGTTTCACACACACACTGTTCATACAACACACACACACTCACACATACCACACATCTGGTACACACCAGTCTCACACTCACCCAGATAGAATCCTCCACACTCCAAACTTCACCACAGACTTCCCTCTCTAGCTCAGCATCCCGAGGGTTCCGCAGATTGCATTCCACAACCCTCCCCTTCCTCCCCCCTCTTGTTGAACTTGCAACAGATTTAGTGGGAGCGGGGAGCGGGCAGGGGGGTGTCAGATGGCCACGCTCGTTTGTGATGTCACGTTAGTGATGTCACGTTAGTGGTTCCCCGGGTGATACATTCCGTCTGCACGGCTCATCCGTTGCTGCCATGCGAGCCTATCCCCCGCTCCCAGGTTTACTATTATTTGTCGTCCCCCCCCCCCTCCTCTGTAAATTAAGTTTAATCAAACACAATTAGGCTCGTTAGCGTCTGGTGCGCAAAACATTTAGACAAAATTAAAGCAATTTGTAACCGTTAGAGGAGATGTAATTGTGATGCGAATTGTGGTTTTGGTGGCCTCTGTTGCTGATGGGGCTGCATATTTGTGGCTTGAATGCCACTTTTGATGGCAGCGCTGATATTGTTGCTGTGGTTGTTGCTCGCAATGCAGCTCTTGTTTAGTGATGGTGATGTTGACACGGGTGATTGTCAATGCTGCTCGTCAGTGCTGCTGTTGCCATGGCGACGTTGATGGGGATGATGTTGGCGATGGCTGCGTGTGTGTACGTGTGTGCGTGTGGTGCTGGCCTCCCACTCCCTTCGCGTGCCGTGCCGGCCTTCATAGGTGATGCTTGCTAACACCACTTGCCACAAAGTCCGTTAAGGCTGTACGGGTGAACTTTGTTTTTGTACAACGCAGACACGCGGATCTATGCCTTTCTACTGGTCTCAGCGTCCAGATCTCAAGTACAAACCTCGACCCCAGATCAGCACCTCCCTCAACCACGTGAGTCTCCCCCTTCCATTCAGGGTTGTTCGCGTGCTAGATTTGCTTCTGACAATATTCTTCACTGCAAGGCCCGCGGGTCACTGGCGGCCCCTGGTGCCTTTTAGTGCGGCCCCCCCGACAATATAAACAAATGTTAAAACACCCCCCAATCAGCGTGCTGTCACAAACCCCAACAATGATTTTTTGAAATGTGTGGCGGCCCTCACACGCTGATGATGTTTTATCGGCGAAAGTGCCTCCCCCCCCCAAAAAAAAATAAACCGAGTAAAGAACACCGGTTTTCACACAGGTGCTCGATTAAGACTTGAGCTGACCCTGGTGTGATGCCAGGTGACCCGTGGTCAGAACACTGAGCTGGCAAAGCTGAGATCCTGAGTTCAAGTCCACGCACCTCCCTCTGTTTCAACCGGATTCTCGAGTGCAGCGAGTCGATTGTCTCAGGGTCGGTCGTCAATGACCGCACAAAAACAAAATGCGATCCAGTTACATTGACCATGTTGGCTCGGCTTTCACGGTCAACACATTCGCCAATTACCGTGCTGTCTCAAAAGCGGAGAAATCAACTCTTAAATTGGTGACATTTTGAGCATTGGGCCTTTCTTTCATAGCACGTGTTGTTGATGATTGCATTGAGTTTTTGTTTTTTTGAGGCACCACTGCCAATGTGGTATAACCAAATAATTTGTTTATAAATAGATATAATTTATATAGCTTATAATATAGCTGGCCGGGAGGTGGGGGTGGGCGGGGCTGGGTGGGTGAGGGGTGGGTAGGGGGGGTTGGATGGGTGGGGGGGGTCGGGGTTGGGTGGGTGGGGTTGGGTGAGTGGGGTGTTGGGGGGGGGTGGTCTTGGGGTGGTGTCCATCTGTGATGATCATATGATTTGCTTACTCGGCTGCCCATGATATATAAAATAACATTTTTCAGACGGTGCCGATCGGTATTGTAACGAGTGAGAGTGTGGCAGGGCAGGTCATAGGGCAGAAAATCAATGTAAAAATAACAATAATATATCCGAGGTGATTTATATTTGAAATCTATGTTTGATACGAAAAAGGTCAAAATGTCACTTGCTCAAGGGGTTGGCGTCCTCTGTGTGCATTTCTCTCCCACAGCTGGATGGGTTCCAGAGGCACTTTGACAGCCAGATAGTGAGCTACGGCAAACAGATCGTGGTCAACCTGGTAAGTCTGCTGTGCTGGTTCACTCACCCACCCACCCTCTCACCCACACTCACCCACCTGCTCACCTACCCGCTCACCCACCCGCACACCCACCTGCACATCTGGCCTCCTACTCTAACACATGCTTGCTCGTTCCCGCAAACCCATCCACCCAATTCCACCCACCAGAACCAACCCACGCACGCACCCACCCATGCACACGCTCGCTCAATTACCCAGTTGCCCGCCCACCCTCCTGTTCATCCGCTTGCTCGCTAGTTCTCGTGGAACTCGCTCCACGTTCGCTTCCTCGTCCGCGCGGTCGCCCCGCTCGCCCAATCCCCCTGCCGCGGGGGACGGAATCTCCACTTCATGTGCGATTACGGAGACACTTTCATCATGGCTGATGTGTGGCATGTGCACTCGATAATAAGTGCAAGGAAAAAAAAAGAGCGATGTTATTTTTGTACTGATCTTCAGGTCAATTCAGGTTATTGAGAGAGCCCATTTCAGGTATGAGCTCAGTTTTGCTTGGAGACCTTGAGTAATCATTGTTATCATATTAATCAGCATCAATCATTGTCTATCCACCGCTGGATGAAGGCCTCCACATGTTGGCTCCATCTGTCACGGTCCTTGGATGCCACAATCCCATCTCGCTCCTGCACATGGGTTAGATTTCATCGCTCCGTCTCATCAGTGGGCGTACTCTCGGTTCCATTCCCTCCTTTTCCTGCTGTTCCATTGCCAGTCATGTTGTTAACCATCACCCCATCCAGCCGCGTTGGCCTGCCCCAGCCCGCTGGATGATTTTCTCTCTCTGTTTTTAATTAGTTTTTTGATCAATGTGCTCTCCTTCCCGTGTTTTCATACAATATTAAAGCAACCATTATTGCAAACATATACTTTTTCGAGTTAGTGTTACCCGGCTCGGCAATACCGTTACGTGTTATTAGTCTTGATTCATCTTTATGTAATTTAGTATTGCATTACTCCAGCAGGCTTTTTATGATTTAGCATTTGTCTTGTGGGAGTTGGATATTAACTTTTGTTGATTTAACATCAGCCTGGTAAGCTAAGGAGGTAGGGGGGGGGGTGTGGAGGTGGGGAGTGGAAGGGTGGGGGCATGGGGGGGAGGGGTACACGTAGGGAGTGTGTGTGCGGTGTATGGGCGTAGCGCATTATATGCAATCCAAATGTCGCCCACCGGTTCGATTCCATCTCTCCGCACGGCAGTTGAAGCAAAACATCAATCCCCCCCCAACCGCCTCTGTCCACCTAGCAGTATAAGTAGGTTCATCGATCGGCGGGTTGTATGTGGTGGGAGAAAATGTGGATACTTTCACCTCTTACAAGACGTCAGACCAGTATGAAAGAGTAGGCCAAATACCCTCCAGAGGGGGGCTCTCTAGAGCGCCCTCTGTTAGCGGAAGCCCTTCCGCCAGCGGTGGTGTGAGCAAGCAATTGCAGGGCTGCGCCTTTACCTCCTATGACCCCCGTTGTCAAGAATGTCTGAGTCGGTTTGAAATGCCCAAGGCTTGGAGAACCAAACGAATTCACGGTGAGGTCCAGAAGGATATATGACTCGATAAAATATTGAGTTTCAATAGAGAGAGAAGATATTAAAAGTAGTTAAACTTTTTCCAGGAAGAACCTTCCTGAGTTTCAAAGGCACTCGTTCAGGAGGGTCCTGCTACTTTGGGGTGTTTGGCCAATTCCTATTTAAGGAAAAAAATTTTTTTGCAAGTGGAAGAACGGCGGAAAAAACGGAGAAAACTGAAACATACAGTGGGGATAACACTCTGAGGTCTAATCCACATGTTCACGAACCCGCTTGCTGTACATGTGGGAGTTTCACACACCTACACGATCTACCAACCCCACCGAGGGTCAATTATAATTCCAATCAGAGTGGCATTATTAGCTGTGAGGAGCAGATGAAATTACACCGTGATTGCAATTCATTACAAATGACACAATCATATCCTTTTTTTTTTATAAAGCTGTAATAGTTAAGAGGGTAATAAAAAAAATTTTTTATTGAACAAAGTTGTTAGAAGAGCTTGGAAAAGAGATGATGTTGATTGGGATGGAATTCCAAAGTGGAGCAGTGCGAGGGAAGAAGGTGACCTGCAGTGTGGTGAGTGGGTGAGTGGTTGGGGGGAGTGAGCGCTTGATTAGGTGAGTGCACGAGTGAGTGAATGAGTGGATAGGTGGGTGGGTGAGTGAGTGGGTGAGCGAGCGAGTGTGTTGTTGTGGTGCTGGCCTGGGCCTCCCCTAGGTCGACTCGGCCTCAAATGAGTACGTGGTGCGGTGTGTAAAAATCATCGCCACTGGGGAGACAGAGGTGGTTGGGCATGGTACTGGCCACCCACACCCTCGTGTACCATGCCAGCCTTCATATGTGCTCGCTAAAAGCACTTGCCCCAACAGTCTGTTAAGTCTATGAGGGGGACCTTTGTATTTGTCTTTGTTGTGACCTACAGTGTGGTGGTTTATCGCGGTATGGATGAGACGATCCCTGCATCTCCGATTCGCACACCGTGCATCAGCTGATCCCACGCTGCTCCCTGCACCGCTGATTACAGAGCATGCATCAGCTGATCCCACGCTGCTCCCTGCACCGCTGATTACAGAGCATGCATCAGCTGATCCCAAGCTGCCCCCTGCTCCTCCGATTCACAGAGCATGGGTCAGCGGGCAATGTCACCGAGGCACATCCAGTCAGGCCAACAACACAGTTAGACACTTCCTGGCGGACCACGAATTTTAGAAGAGTGTTAAATTTCGTGTTCAACCTTTGGATTGCACATACCAGCATAGATAGAATGAAAAATACGAGGTACACGGTCAGTAGAAATACATATACAAGTCCACCAAGAGGTAAGGAGGGAGGAAAGACGGACAGGGAGGCAGAGAGAGAGGGGGGGGGGGCCGGAGGGATGAACAGAAGCTTAAATAGGAAATACGGTTGGACGGGGGGAGGGGCCAGAGCGAGAGCGGCAGCTCAAACACGCACATCTTACACATACAAAACGGCAGCTCAAAAAATGAGCACCTCTTGTGAATACAAAACGTCAGCTCAAAAAAGGGCACATCTTACACTTAATTACAACGGTAACGTCCCCGTAGAAGTGTGATAATAAAGTATTAAAGCTTTCGTGACTGCATAAAATTACTCATTGGTTTTTTCGTATTTTTTATTCTATCTATGCTGGTATGTGCAATCCAAAGGTTGAACACGAAATTTAACACTCTTCTGAAATTCGTGGTCCGCCAGGAAGTGTCTAACTCTGTTGTTGGCCTGACTGGATGTGCTTCACATAATGTTTTTTCAGGTTTGTTGAATTCTCGTCTCTCATCTTTTTGTTGTATTTACCTCTGTGATTTGTTCTTGACACCTGATGAAGATCGCTTGCGTTGTGATCGAAACGTCGTGATTGTTTTTTGTTTTAATTTAATTTTATTGTATTTCTACATACGTGACTTTACCGAAAAAACCAATGAGTAATTTTATGCAGTCACGAAAGCTTTAATACTTTATTATCACACTTCTACGGGGAAGTTACCGTTGTAATTATGTGTAAGATGTGCCCTTTTTTGAGCTGCCGTTTTGTATTTACAAGAGGTGGTACTTTTTTGAGCTGCCGTTTTGTATTTACAAGAGGTGGTACTTTTTTGAGCTGCCGTTTTGTATGTGTAAGATGTGCGTGTTTGAGCTGCCGCTCTCGCACTGGCCCCTCCCCCCCTCCAGCCGTATTTCCTATTTAAGCTTCTGTTCATCCCTCCGGCCCCCCCCCTCTCTCTCTCTCTCTGCCTCCGTGTCCGTCTTTCCTCCCTCCTTACCTCTTGGTGGACTTGTATATGTATTTCTACTGACCGTGTACCTCGTATTTTTCATTCTATCTATGCTGGTATGTGCAATCCAAAGGTTGAACACGAAATTTAACACTCTTCTGAAATTCGTGGTCCGCCAGGAAGTGTCTAACTGTGTTGTTGACCTGACTGGATGTGCTTCACATAATGTTTTTTCAGGTTTGTTGAATTCTCGTCTTATCTTTTTGTTCTATTTACCTCCGTGATTTGTTCTTGACACCTGATGAAGATCGCTTGCGTTGTGATCGAAACGTGATTGTTTTTTGTTTTAATTTAATTTTATTGTATTTCTACAAACGTGACTTTTCCGAAAAAAACAATGAGTAATTTTATGCAGTCACGAAAGCTTTAATACTTTATTAATGTCACCGAGTTCAACCGAGCCTCCACGGAGGCCACTGAGTGGCTTCATCGCCTCGACATAAAAATCAGAAGAGGAAGACAAAAGCTTTTAAGTGAAACAAGTTTTGAAAATATTGCGTAGGCAAGGATTATGCAACACTTTCCACCCTGATTTTCATCCGTGCACGTGTTTAACGAGCAGTATGGAAGCTGACGTGTATCTGGCAGGAAAATAAATACTCCTTTGCATATATCCGACAGGTAGTCTACATGGGCAAAATTCATTCGTAATTGATGCTAACACTCAATATTTTTTCTTGCGATTCTTCTGCCTCCCGAGTTGTGTTCAATCCTCTGATCAACGTGGCCGGATTTTAATTGGACGTTATCCCTAATGCGGCTGCAACTCTACACAACAGCTTTGTCCCACCCCTCCCCTTCGTCACAGATGGACGGACCGACAGACAGACGGAGCTAATGAGCCAATGGGCGAAGGTTTTCAACCTTCGTTCGGAAGCGTAAAAAAATCTGTCATCCGACTCACCGCCCCGGCTACGTGGCTGCGTGCCCCGGCTCTGGTGAATGACGATGGCTCCTGGGTGTGCTGTTTCCCCCAACCCCTCACCCCCCAAGGTGGACCACAAGGGCTCGGAGAAGAGGCTGGAGGAGGCGTTTGCGGCGCTGACCAAGCGTCTGGGCAGCGATTGGATCCAGTGAGCGACCTGCCCTTCCTGCTACCCTTAGGCAATCTCGCTCTCTCCCCCGTTCTCTCTTTCTCCCTCAACCTTCTCTTTCCCTCTTGTGCTCTCCGTATCGCCGTGTCTCCCCGTTCCCCCTCTCTCTCGGTTTCGTTCTGTCTCCTCCCCCCATCTCTGTTTCATCTTTACTTTTCTTTCATTTTCTCTCTGCCTCTCACTGTCTCTCCCCAACCCTCTCTCTCCCCCACCCTTTGTCTCCCCCTTGGTGCCTTCTCTTTGCTCTCTCTTTCTCACTCTGCCAGTATCCCTCTCTCTTGTTCTCTCTGTTGCTCTCTCCCTTTCTCCCTCTTGTCCTCACTTTTTTTACTCTTCTCTCTGCCTTTGCTCCCTCTCGTTCCGTCTCCCATCTTTCTCTCTCCGTTCACTTTCCCTTGCTCTCCGTTCTTCTCAACTTGAACAATTCCCAGATATGAAAATCAAATCGGTTTCATAGGATCTCGAACTGCACAACCGAATGTGTTAGTGTATTTGGAACAGCGTGTGTTCTTGGTGGGAGCACAGTGGTTAGCGCACTGCATTGCCTAACTCACTGGTTCTTAACCTTTACTTCAGCCCTTTGGTTCTCAATCGTAAAAAAAAAATTATAATGTTAATAAATAGATAGGGTTTAATGAAACATATTAGTTGTACTTACATGCGCGTGCTTAATTTGGGTTTTGATGATTTACCTTCTAAAGAAATCTGGCCATGTCTTGGCACCCCCAGAAAGGGCATCTCGCACTCCCAGGTAAAGAACTACTGGTCTAATCGAATACAATTATTTACTTTCGGCATCGATTCCTGGCCACGTCCAACATCAGCGATGAATATCCGAACCGGTTCTGGGCCTCCCCCGAGGTCAACTCATCCTAAAATGAGTACCTGGTGCGGCGTTGTGTAACCATGGATACTGGCGCGAGGCAGCATGCGTGGCGCCGGCCACACACCCACTCGCCTGACCGTGTCAGTATTCGTAGGTTGGCTACACGCGTGGCATGTAACCCAGTGTACTGTGGAGGCGAGGGTCGGTGGACCACCGCACAAATGGTGTGAAACTCCCTTCCCGTGGCCGTTGAGGAGGTGCCATACACCTGGCTGGTACGGACAAAGCGCTCCAACAAGTGGACTATTCGCCATCTGTGTTCATCTGTACGAGGATAGGGCGTTGCCCCATCGCACGCGTGGGTTTTTATCTGGGTGTTCCGGCTTCCTTATGCTTGTTTAAACACAGCTCATCATTAATTGGCTGAAAACATCTTAAAATAAAACCCCAATGTAGCAGCAGCAGCAGCAGAACTCTCCTGAAGAAGAGTCTGACAACTCGGCATGGCTCGCCTGGATAAATAAGTACATTCTTATTTTTAGAACTTATCATGGACACCTCTGGCTCTGATAGTCCCTTTGGCTAAAGTAAAGGATACTCTTTGTGTGTATGTATGTTGAACTTTTTTGCACTGTACGTAGCCAACCGTGCTAATCGGAGGTGTTTGCACGCGTGCGTATGTGTACGCGTGTACGTATGTTTGCGCATGTGTGCATGCGTGTGTTGTTGGGGCATGGGGAGCGGTAGTGTAGCGGTTAGCGCGCTGCGCTATGAACCTGGCGACCCGGGTTCGATTCCCGCTCACGGCCAACACCAGTGACGATTATCTGAACCGGTCCCGGGCCTCTCCTAGGTCGACTCAGCCTCAAATGAGTACCTGGTGCGGTGTGTAAACATCGCCACTAGGGAGATAAAGGCGGTCGGGCGTGGTGCTGGCCACCCACCCCCTCGTGTACCATTCCGGCCTTCATAGGTGCTCGCTAACAGCACTTGCCCCTACAGTCTTTTACAGGCTATACGGGGGATCTTTATCTTTGTTTTTGTTGTTGTCGGTAACCGCTACGCCACTGCTCCCCGCACAGGCTATACAAGGGGGTCTTTGTGTGTGTGTGTGCGTGTGTGCGTGTGCTCGCCGTGCAGGTATGAGGCGTTCGACTTCCACAAGGAGTGCAGCCGCATGCGCTGGGAGCGCCTCCACATCCTCATCGACCGCTTGGCAGAGAGACAGGACCACTTGGGGTGAGTGTTTCACACGCACTGCTCGCGCTCACACTTGCACTCGCCTTACACCCGCTTACACTCTCACGCGAGGCGCATACTCATGACGCAAGGGCTGTTCGCCTTTCCGGTTCGCGCTTTCCTTTTTTAAGTTGGTGCCCGGTACCGGTTCATTGTCGGCAGTTACGATAGTTTTTTTTTTACCGCAAAGCTATGCGCCCCCCCCCCCCCACCGTTCGATGGGACGTCTGGTTGACGAGAGTGCGAAGGTCTTTTCGGGTGCGAGCCAGAATTGACAGTGCAAAATGGCAAAATAAGGGCCAAAGGAGACGAAGCTGGGAAATGAAATTGCGAAAAGGGCTTAGAGAGTAATCCGCGAAGGCTTCCGCCGCGTCGCGTGGGGCGGCCGGCCGCTGCCAAAAGGGGTTAAGGGAGGACAGCTCCCACGGTCTGGGGCGAGGAAGCTGCCCCCCGCCCCTTCACCCCCCCCCCCTTGCGCCATCTCGAAAGTGAAGACGGAGATTGATAGAGTCGTGGTCCGGATTGCCTGGCGGCTCCCCTGACGCCACGCGGAGATCCCAGCCCCGACTGGAAGCATGTAAACGTGACCCCGCTACCCCTCCATCGCGTGCAGAGAAAAAAATATCCAGTCCCAAGAGACGGTCCGGCAGACCAGGCCCCCGACCAGCGGCCGGCGTGAGTGGGATTTCATAAATCCGAGTGGTGAAGGATGAGATTCAGATCGTCTTAGCTAAAAGGTGTGGGTTTACACGATAAGGCGCGGTTAGTTTTTTTTTAACAGGCGAATTTTTTGGGCCGTGCGGATCAATCTGTTGGGCAACTGGGCCTGTGGAGTGGGATGATGGCAAGGAAAGGTGGCGGTGGATGACGAGGTGCAATGGTGCTCGTTCGCAATTTTGTGGGTGCGCGGGTCGCGCTTATTCTGCCGGCATGTCCGGCAAGCCGTTTCTTGAGAACTGCTTTTTGTGTTTAGTTTGTTGTTGCCCTTCCGCCCCGCACCTCCGATTAGCGCGCTGTTGGTGACGTACAGTGCGAGGACTCCACAGTGGCGGGATGTTAACTCCCTCACCTGGTTCACATGAGGTCCTGGGTTCAATCCCGACCCTGGCACCTGCTGTATATTTGGAGTTCGCATGTCTTACCTCCCCGTGGCCGCGTGGATTTTTCTCCGGGCCCTCCAGTTTTTTTCTCCACATTTAGAAACGTGCGTTTTAGAGTATTTGGCTGCCGCAAATTTCTGCACGATGAGCCACTTGGTTGAGTTATCATTTGTGATGACCAGGTCGCTTAAAAAAAAGAGCTATATATCATATGTGGGCCTTACAGTGAGGGGAAAAAAGTATTTGATCCCCTGTTGATTTTCTACGTTTGCCCACTGACAAAGAAATGATCAGTCTATAATTTTAATGGTAGGTTTATTTGAACAGTGAGAAACAGAATAACAACAAAAAAATCCGGAAAAACGCATGTCAAAAATGTTATAAATTGATTTGCAATTGAATGAGGGAAATAAGTATTTGACCCCTCTGCAAAACATGACTTAGTACTTGGTGGCAAAATCCTTGTTGGCAATCACAGAGGTCAGACGTTTCTTGTAGTTGGCCACCAGGTTTGCACTCATCTTAGGAGGGATTTTGTCCCACTCCTCTTTGCAGATCTTCTCCAAGTCATTAAGGTTTCGAGGCTGACGTTTGGCAACTCGAACCTTCAGCTCCCTCCACAGATTTTCTATGGGATTAAGGTCTGGAGACTGGCTAGGCCACTCCAGGACCTTAATGTGCTTCTTCTTGAGCCACTCCTTTGTTGCCTTGGCCATGTGTTTTGGGTCATTGTCATGCAGGAATACTCATCCACGACCCATTTTCAATGCCCTGGCTGAGAGGAAGGAGGTTCTCACCCAAGATTTGATGTTACATGGCCCCGTCCATCGTCCCTTTGATGCGGTGAAGTTGTCCTGTCCCCTTAGCAGAAAAACACCCCCAAAGCATAATGTTTCCACCTCCATGTTTGACGGTGGGGATGGTGTTCTTGGGGTCATAAGCAGCATTCCTCCTCCTCCAAACTCGGCGAGTTGAGTTGATGCCAAAGAGCTCCATTTTGGTCTCATCTTACCACAACACTTTCACCCAGTTGTCCTCTGAATCATTCAGATGTTCATTGGCAAACTTCAGACGGGCATGTATATGTGCTTTCTTGAGCAGGGGGACCTTGCGGGCGCTGCAGGATTTCAGTCCTTCACGGCGTAGTGTGTTACCAATTGTTTTCTTGGTGACTATGGTCCCAGCTGCCTTGAGATCATTGACAAGATCCTCCCGTGTAGTTCTGGGCTGATTCCTCACCGTTCTCATGATCATTGCAACTCCACGAGGTGAGATCTTGCATGGAGCCCCAGTCCGAGGGAGATTGACAGTTCTTTTGTGTTTCTTCCATTTGCGAATAATCGCACCAACTGTTGTCACCTTCTCACCAAGCTGCTTGGCAATGGTCTTGTAGCCCATTCCAGCCTTGTGTAGGTCTATAATCTTGTCCCTGACATCCTTGGAGAGCTCTTTGGTCTTGGCCATGGTGGAGAGTTTGGAATCTGATTGGTTGATTGCTTCTGTGGACAGGTGCCTTCTATACAGGTAACAAGCTGAGATTAGGAGCACTCCCTTTAAGAGTGTGCTCCTAATCTCAGCTCGTTACCTGTATAAAAGACACCTGGGAGCCAGAAATCTTTCTGATTGAGAGGGGGTCAAATACTTACTTCCCTCATTAAAATGCAAATCAATTGATAACATTTTTGACATGCGTTTTTCTGGATTTTGTTGTTGTTATTCTGTCTCTCACTGTTTCAAATAAACCTACCGTTAAAATTATAGACTGATCATTTCTTTGTCAGTGGGCAAACGTACAAAATCAGCAGCGGATCAAATACTTTTTTCCCCCTCACTGTACCTGGTAATCGTTTTGGATAAAGAAGTTCAACACATACAAAGCAGCTTCGCGAGCACTTTGGTGTCTCGGGAGATGCTGGTGTCGGGAGGGATGTAAAATTGGCCATGGAGACGGAAGGCAGAGGGCACGCAGTGATGGAACGGGCACGTGGGGGCAGGTGGCGGCTTGGCGGGATGTGGCTATGCAGATACCAGCTCCGTGGCGGAGGTGGTAGTGGTGGTGGCACGCTCGTTCCGATTATTACTTTGTTTTTTAATGATGCAACGGGAAGGCGGTGAGCCATTGGGGAGAGCCCAGAACTGTTCATTAAAGCCCTCGGCCTTTGGAGGCAGCGTCAGAAAAAATGAGCGCGGTTCACCGTGTTTTGTGCCCGAGGATTGAACTGGGGCAGGTCTCCTCGATTTTATTGCTTGAAAAGACTTCACATGGAGAAAGTGCTGATAGTCTGGTTCCTGCCATGGAACAGAGGGGAATAGCTGCAGTCCTTTCACGGGAATGGCAAGCGAGCACAATAATTTACCGGCCGATGAATTATTCACGCACCGGCAGTGAGATGCAGCTGTCGACAGAGGTAATAAGTTGGCCCCGGTAGGCCTTTAGATGTGGGAGGAGGAGAAAGATGAGGGAAGGGCACACGTCGGGGCTTAGCTTGCCGCTGCGCCCCACTTTAGTGCAGACGTGTCAGGTGATCACGCCTAGGGGAACAAACGGCGGCACCCGAGACGATACCGTTCATTAACGAGGATTTGCGCGACGGCTCCGAGAAACGTGAACCTTTGGCGGACGGTTCTCGACTTTACAACAGCTGCGCGTTCTCGCAGAAGGAATGAAGCGGTGGCGTGGCATGGGGGTAGCAGCGGCGGCATAGCCCCGTCGTAGCCCGTCTGACCTCGCCCTTGACTTTGTTAAAGAGAGCACGTTGTCTTTGGCATCGGGACAGACGGCTGTAGAGGCGCGATGCAGATCCCCCCCGGCGCTGTGACGGATAATGCTGCTGGCAGGGCGTGATGTGGTACACGCGCCTCCAGGCGTAAACAAGAATATGATCCACCTGACGTGTAGCGATGGCTTCGGGGAGCCATCCTCCTCGCCGTGAGCGGTGGCCGTGTGTTCCGGCCGGATTCGTCCGGCCGTGGCCTTTTGGTGGCGCACGGCACCCGTGGCGATGATTATGAAGAGCTCCGACAAGGTTTCCTGGAGATAGATAAGACCCCGGGGAGATGGGACATTGACCAGAGGCAGGGTATCGGTTATAACTCAACCGTGTCATTTGTCGGAGAAACAACCTCATGAGATACGCTTCCCCTTATGTAAGCGAGACCTTGGTCACCATGGTGACTTTGGTGAATTTCACACATTGTCCTGGTGGCTCATATTTCGAATTTTGTCATTTTAACTCACGAGGGCCCTCTCTTGCGAAGGACGGGGGTGCCGCCTCTGTCGTCCGTTTGTACAGCCGCAGACGAATCGTCGCGCCGATCCTCCGCAGAGGGTGGCCTGCAGGCTTGGTGCACGTCCTAGAGGGTCAGTTTGTGCGCTGACTGGCAATGATGCGTGGCCGCCCGGACACTCGCCGATCTCATGCGGATGTGGCAGAGGCCGGAGCGAGCGTCACGGTGTGGGGGGGGGTGGGGGGAGGTGAGGCACCAGCAGTGAGGAGCGGTGGTGTAGCGGCTGGCACACTGCGCTACGAGATCAATACTGGTGAAGATTATCTGAACTGGTCCTGGGCCTCCCCTAGGTCGACTCGGTCTAAAATGAGTACCTGGTGCGATGTGTAAACATCGCTACTGGAGAGACAAAGGCGGTCGGGCGTGGTGCTGGCCACCCACCCCCTTTGTATGCCGTGCTGGTCTTTGGAGGTGCTCGCTAACAGCACTTGCCCCAACAGACTGTTAAGGCTATATGGAGGATCTTTGTCCTGTTCTTGATGCACCAGTAGTGCACCGCTCATTGTCTTCAACGCCGGCAGGTTACTGTGCAGCATTATGGGTAAAAGCAAGTATAAAGAGAACTCCGTTTTGTATCTCCACATACACATACAAATAAGTATTAGTCTGTCA